GACCGGACTTCAAGATCGTCACCAGTCATCAGAACATCTTGGAATGCGATCAAGATCGGGTACCAAAACTGCTCCTCCTTGGACTGACGGGTGAGCTGCTGGGAAAGGTTGGTAGCATCTTCATGGAAGCCCTCCGGTGATGCACCACGGTGAGACAGCGGGCACTCTGGCGTCCTCAGCATTTTCGTAACAGTAGACTTCAAGGTCTCAATTGCCTGCAACGACTTCTTCTGGAACTTTGAGTTTTTGGAAAATTCAGTAAGGCAGACAACGAGGTCAGGAAAGGCACCCTGTGTTATAACGACTCCAAAGCGGGTGTTGTAGATCTGGGTCACATGCTCGAAAGCCATGTTGACAATGCCTTCATACGGCTCGCGAGCAGCAACCGTAAAGACGCCAAACATAGTTTTCCAACCTGAGCGAATATTGTCACCACGTGCCTGAATCATCTGGATGAGACAACGAAGAATCATATCCTTGACAGTGACAGCGTTGCTGTTCGCCATAACATGTTCAAATGGCTTGAGGAAGTCCTTTTGGAACTTGAAACCTGGCAGCTCCTCAATCTCCATAAAGCGCATCGAAAGTTGGCGAAGCGAATCAAGAGCGAAGAAGACCACTGTGGTATTTGAATGGCAACCCACATGATTGAAGTGCTGTCCGAGGACCTCCCAAATCTTTGACCATTCTATCCTGACTCTAGTCATGTTGTAGTAACTGATTTCTACCAGTTTCTGCAGGCTATACGTCCGAGGAGATTCAGTTTGCCCAGACGATTGGATCTCTTGCCAGCTGACCTCGCTGAGGGCCTTAATGAAATCGATGATGGCCTCGTGGGAGAGATTGGCCGTATTGGTGAAGATGCGGTCCACTCCCCTTATCATTTCTGCAGATCGACTCTCCATAGCAACCTCGGTACGGAAAGCTGTAGGTCCGTTGATAGATCGGGGGCGAGGCCGTCTTGATGCTTGCATCGACTTCCGAGATCCGTCCGTGGATGGCTGAGTCACGATGCGAGCTCGAGAGACATCAGGCAGGGAACCTTCATCCACACCATCGGTGAGGAGCTGAAGACGGTCGAGTTGACTGACGCAGGTGAGAATCTCTCTCCAAGAGCCCTTGAGATGGTTTCCTTCCGTAAGAGCGACGTCAAGCAAGGCTTTCAACGCCTCCACGTTCTTTGCTACCATCTCCCTGACGTTGCCTAAGTTGGTAAACTTGGCCAAGGCGGTCACAAACGCGACCCGCGGGGTCTCAAGTTCGAACGCGCAACTGATGCGTATAGCCAGCTTCATACCTCCCATGCAAAGTCGGATGATTTCGAGGTATTGGGTGTCCTGCATCGGAGCAGACAAGCCAGAAAGGAAAGACATCCAGGTGACATTGAACATGGAGCCAACATGTTGGACAGAGGTTGCCGGGATGAAGCGTGAGAGAGCTTCCTTGACAGCTGTTTTCCGCTGAGCCCGTATCAGACTACGATAAAGCTGCTCGGTCTTGTTTGCCATTTCCTCAGAAGCCTGCGCGTACTTTTCACCTTGGATATCGCGTCCCACCGTTGCAAAAACTTGTCCAGCCCTGGACGCGAGGCCACCGCTGGGTGCAGATGTCGGAATGCCAAGATTGGCAGCATGTTCTCTCTCAGTATCCAACACAATTTCATTGTTTGCGATTTCGTCGTAGATGGAACCAAGATAATCATCAGGCAAATCCTGGTTATCATTGATACCCCTGTTGTTCTTGATGAAATCTTCCTTCGTCATGCGGCGGCCCTTGATCTTGGCACTATGCTGATCGGTGTTGAGCATGATGACGGAGTAAGCAAGAACGTAGGCCGTATCCGCGTTTGCAAATGCGTTCGGATTCTGCGTTACGTAGCGCTCTGCAAACTTGAGCATGAAGCGATCGATCTTCTGTGCCTCTCCTGGCAAGCGGAAGTGCTGTAGGAATTGACGCAGAGCATCGACGAAGCGCCGCTTCGAAAACTCCATCATATCAACGAAAGCATGCATGATGGCGATATTCTCAGCCTCTCCTTCACCGAGATACTCACCAATCATGGCTTTATCCAACCGTTCATTCCGGAACAAGAACGCGGCAATGTCCTCCGGTGAACTGGAACGTACAAAGCCATCTTTGATAAAGAGCTTGATTCCCCGCTTGGCCTTGAAGTTAAACTGTTGGATGGCGTTGGTGAAGGCGATCTTTCTTTGCTTGACCTTCTCAATCTGGCTCGGGTCGTCCTCCGCCACAGGTGTGGTACTGCCGTCGGTGCTTTCGATCCTCGGAGAAGAAAGATAGGTAGCGGCAGTCGTTTCCATCGAATCCCTAGGATTGTCGATTGACTTCTGAGAAGAGGAGTTGAGAACTGGCGCCGCTTGATCGACCAAACGCTGGGAAGCCCAGTTGTCTAATGACTGAAGGATTTCCACCAGGCACTCGACCGCCTGATTCTTCAATATATAATCAGGGGGCACATGCTGTAGGTTTGGCTGATGAACATTGGCTACGCTAGCTGTGGTAAGGTTGGGCGGTAGGGTTCCCCGTTGATGCCAGTCATTACCGAGAGTCGAAACCTTGACATGATGCTCCTGATACTGTTGTTGCTGGAAAGCGGTGACTGTGACTGGTATACTTGCATACCGTGACAACTGCTCAATAACACTGGAGAATGGTCAGAAGTCGGACTGCAGAATAATGAAATTATGACGTACTTTTGGAAAATATTTTCCAACGCGGTTCTGTCGCAGTCATAGTTGAGGTACATTTCCACCAAGGCGCGCGGATCGCCTGCCAATCGCTCCAAGATTTCCATGAAGTACTGTTTCTGGAAAAGGGGAGAATTGCGCTTTTCGAGAATAGTCAAGTATATCTCTTTTAGGAAAACCTCAAGTTCTTTCTGCTGGCTGTTAGATCGACTCGCGCGATAAGTCCATAAAGCATACTGACCTTCATCATCACTCTCATATCCTTCAGCATTAGCCAAAATATCTCACAGCAAACTTCGAACACTCTAGGCACAGAGCTAGACCCATTCCGACTCAAGCTTAAGCACAAGTGAGGCCGGACAGCTTGTAGTAGTGTCATAGCATCCGGGCTGTTGGAGCTATTTTTTATGGTCAGGAGGGGAGATGTAAAGGTCACAACGTGATTGTTGATGAGGTAATGAATAAGGTGCAATGAGAGCAATTTTGACCTCATGTTCTGAGACTTGAGATCTTGCTGTTGATCATGGCTCAATATTTTGTGGCTCAGCTTGCAGAGTGCCCTGAAAACCAAAAATGCGTCTTTGACATATATTTCGTCTTCATCATCATCGGAAGTGCCGTCAATGTCCTCTGCTGAGGCTGCGGACATTGACCGAGCAGATCTCTGATTGCCTCTGGCACGAGTAACCATCGTGGGAGCATTATCGTTCACCGAGGTCACATCCTTGTTCGACTCGAAACTTTGCAACGTCAATTTCTCCACGGGCTCCTTCGTGACAGGCTGGTCGGAGGCTACGGCAGACGGGGCATCTGAGTCGTGATCATCTTCCGTTGCTTGTGGTGTCTCGGCTGTTTCTAGAGTCACAGCATCCGAAGAGCCCGTCTGCCCTTTTTCGCCATCGCGCAAACGTAGCTCTTTCAAGTCCAACCGTACCTGGACCCTATCAAATACAGTGCTGACCATCTGTGTCAAGGACCCTTGGGCGATTTGCTGATTCTGAGATGATTTGGAGTAGATGAAGATGTTGTAAATCTGGCGGACAGCCTTCAGGAGACCTGCTCCATGCACGACGATCTTGTCGTTCAGAACTGCCGCAAGGAGTGACTTTATGATTTGTTGTTGAATCTCAACGGGTGTGGCTTCGTTCTCAAAGCAGTCGCAGATCGCATCAATCGCTCGCTCAATCAGGGGTGGCTGTTCAGGGTTGGCCTCCGACTCTGGCGTCTTCCCATCTTGAGATGAAGGGAAGGCGAAGTATGAGTAGGTTATCAATTTTCCGATGCAATCGAGGGCCGTGACCTGCAGAGGAATACTGAAGGTTTTCGTGGCCAGCTGCAGAGGGCGGAATATAAGCTCAGGGTCAATGGGCTGGCCATCCGACTGTTTGACGTTTGCGAGGGCACTCTTCACAGCATCCTCAAGTTCTTTGCTTCTCCGCGCTTCCTTAGACGCGCCGATTGTATCCAACGCCGTCACAATAAAAACGGTAGAGCTGACCGTGACCGAGCGATGTGTTGCAAATGTAGCTGTCGTCGATCTTGAATCGGAGCGCATGCGTGAATCGGAGGGAATTTCATCTTGATGCGGGATGGAAGCAACATCTTGCTTGTCAGCCGAAGATTCCTCTTCAACGTTGACAGCCGGAACTACCGGTGATGTGTCCGCAGATTGGTCCTGTGTATCGGGCTTCGAGGTCGACTCAGGCTCGGTGTCAGCCTTGGGTTCTGATGATGCGACGGCTCCCTCCGGAGAGCTTGGGGCTTGAACCGGCGACTCTGTATTTTCAGTAGTTTTCAATTGTTCTGGTGATGAATGAGCCTCCTCTGATCCCTGAGCATCAATTCCTTGGCTATCCGAAACCTCCGGTAGTGCGGGTTTATCTCCGTCGACAGGTGATTCCGTATGCGCTAGGACATCGCCGGCAACATCCTCCTTGTTGTCTACCGGCGGCAGGGTTGTAGATGTTTGGGTTGGTGGCTCGTTCACAGAGCCATTCTCGACTTCCGCCATTTATGCAAGACTCCGTCCGGAGTGTTGGGAATTAGGCAGACGAGGGGTCCACATGGGACTGAAAAGCAACTAAAGGGGTATATGCAGGTCTGAGAGAAAGGGCCCTCTAGCCTCCTGGACGCTGGGGAACTGATGCGTGTTCACTCCGCGGACGGGGAGAATGTACGGCTGCCGCTAGGGGCCACACACGCCGCGCTGACATAATCAGGCCACGGCGGCGCCCGGCGAGTCTATTCCGATCGCTCACCGGGAAGCTCAACAGAAAAGTTCCTGGAGCTGCAGTTCTCAACTCCTCTGATACGGGCCCTTTCATTCCGCCAGATACGTCTCCGGCTCCCCCTTTCATCCCATTTAATCCCCTCATTCCCGTCTCGGGTCTATTTCTCTATCACATATAGCATTTGGGCGCCATGGTTGCTTCTGCTGTCCGGATGCGCGCTCCCAGCGCCATGTTCCTCTCCAAAGGCGCCCTCTCCCTGAAGCGGCCGCAAACTGTTCACAGATTCAAGGACATCGCTCAGTATGTCGCACCACCTCGTTGAAGACCACTTGGCTGTCTACAAAGCATGCTAATCATACTTGTGTGTCTTTTTAGATCTCAATTGCCTTCCCTGTCCGCCCTTTCCCGTTTTTATGCCTCCAAGTGTATGCCGTTATTCTTGTCGCCTTTGATTTGTGGATGATCGGATTTTAACATGTTGGATCTGCAGCCTTCCCTCCCCACACTGTCATCAGCATGCCGGCCTTGTCGCCGACCATGTCCGCCGGAAACATTGGAGCTTGGCAGAAGAAGGCCGGTGATTCCCTGCAGCCCGGTGATGTCCTGGTAGAGATCGAGACCGATAAGGCCCAGATGGACTTTGAGTTCCAGGAAGAGGGTGTTCTGGCCAAGGTTCTTAAGGAGACTGGCGAGAAGGACGTCTCTGTCGGTTCTGTATGTGATAACTCTTCCGCTCTGTTCTTGGCCCCCACCGAATCCTTTGCTGACCGCTATTGCATTAGCCTATCGCTGTTTTGGTTGAGGAAGGTGTCGATGTTGCCGCTTTCGAGGCTTTCAGCCTGGCGGATGCCGGTGGTGAGAAGGCTGCTCCTGCTGCTGAGGAGAGCAAGCAGGAGTCCAAGGCCGCTGAGGCTGCCCCGGCTTCTGAGCCCGCCCCTGCTGCCGTGGAGCCTGAGACTTCCGGCGAGAAACTCCAGCCCAGTCTGGACCGTGAGCCTTCCATCAGCCCTGCTGCCAAGGCCCTGGCTTTGGAGAAGGGTGTGCCGATCAAGGCTCTCAAGGGTACCGGCCGTGGTGGCCAGATCACTAAGGAGGACGTTGAGAAGTACAAGCCCAGTGCTTCTGCCGGCCCTACCTACGAGGACATCCCCCTGACCTCCATGCGCAAGACCATTGCTAGCCGCCTCCAGCAGTCCGTGCGCGAGAACCCTCACTTCTACGTCTCCACCACTTTGTCTGTGAGCAAGCTCCTCAAGCTTCGTCAGGCTCTGAACGCTTCCTCCGAGGGCAAGTACAAGCTTTCCGTCAACGACTTCCTCGTCAAGGCCTGCGGTGCCGCCCTCATGAAGGTCCCCACCGTCAACTCTAGCTGGCATGAGGAGAACGGCCAGACCGTCATCCGTCAGCACAAGACCGTCGACGTCAGTGTTGCCGTCTCTACCGCCAATGGCCTCATCACCCCCATCGTCAAGAGCGTTGAGGGCCGTGGTCTGTCCAGCATCTCCAACCAGATCAAGGACCTGGGCAAGCGCGCCCGCGACAACAAGCTCAAGCCCGAGGAGTACCAGGGTGGCACTTTCACCATCAGCAACATGGGTATGAACCCTGCTGTTGAGCGCTTCGCCGCCGTCATCAACCCCCCTCAGGCCGGTATCCTGGCTGTTGGCACCATCCGCAAGGTTGCCGTCCCCGTCGAGACTGAGGAGGGCACCTCCGTTGAGTGGGATGACCAGATCATCGTCACTGGTAGCTTCGACCACCGTGTCGTCGATGGTGTTGTCGGTGCTGAGTGGATCAAGGAGCTGAAGAAGGTTGTTGAGAACCCCCTCGAGCTTCTTTTGTAAGCTCTTCCCTACACTGTGGAACCCCGACCGGCGCAGTATACTAGCTATCTACGATCGGAGTTTCTTTTGGCCTTGTTGTAATATGTATTAAAATCATTGAACGTTTCCTCCTTTCACGACCGTCACGGTCTGTCAAGTACAGCCTAGATATTCTCAATGCATTTCCTATGTTCCGTACTTCCATGATGTTAAGCCTTGCAGGATGTTTCGGACTATGTTATTGGCCGCACAAGTTGTACCTGATACTTGAACCAGCCCCTCTCGATAGATGCAACAACCTGTCTAGATTTATGCCGTGCAAAGCAGTAATTGGGCAGATCCATCAGGAACAACTTAAAAGGGTTGCGTAGCCGCCAGTGCGTTGCGTCCGGCACGAGAGTCTTGGCGGTGCTCATAGCCTGGGCCAACCTTCGCCAGGGAATCTATGACGTGATGTCATTCCTCTCGGACGGTTCTCGTGTCCATAAATACTCGAGGTTCTCATCCCCTGAAACCTACCTCGATACTTTCCCGTGCGTCAGCCTATTACATCTTATTTTATCGTCACTTGCATTCGAATCTACTTGTGCGTTTGTTTGGCCCTTCCTGGAGGTTGCTAAGTACTCTTGGTCTTGGCATACTCCCATTTTAGATGCGCCGACTGATGACGTCCTAGATCACATATTCCTCTCAAGTCACACGACTCACTTATTCATCATGTCTTACGCAGAAGCTGCTGCCAAAGGTCCCAAGCAATCCGCAGAGGAGGTATGTCTACAGTCACTTCCCCGCGTATCGTCTACTGCTAGTACTATACCATCTAGATTATGCAGATCGCTAACAATATGGACAGGCGTAAGTCAACAACATCACAGTACAAAGACCCTTTCATACAGCTAACGCCATGTAGCCGTGCCCCCAGCGTTGGTGGAGTGTACCGCGACGAAGCCGAGAGCACCGCTTCCCTGGTCGACGTCGACTCGCCGCACGTCCAGGCCGTGGATCCCAATTTCCTGAAGCAAGACGTGCAGACCACCACCCAGGCCGAGCGGATAGAGCGAGAAGAAGAGGAGCGGGAAGCCTACGAAGAACGGAGAGCCAAGAGCAAGGCTAAGGCTAAAGCTAAGGCGAAGGCTGAATCGGCTCGCAGCAACGCGCACAACCCTGTGTACCTCGGAAATGCTGTGATTCTGGCCTTGACCGGCGCTGGTCTGGGGTATGGAGCATACCGGAAGCATGCTGCTGGGCAGCTTTCGTGGGAAGTGATTGGATGGGCCTCTGGCGCTATTGGTGCTTTTGGTGCCGTGGACTACTTTGTTAGCAAGTGAGTATCTGTCTGAAGTGCATGTGCGATGATGGTGTTTGCTAATGTAGGGGCGTCCTCTAGATGGCTTCTGCAGAACAAGTACCCTCCGAAATAAGGCTTGAAGTCGAGACGGAGCACTTCGTGGAGTCGTGATATCCCAGTGTCAATTCCGCGGTCTATTACTTTTTTTTACTGTTGGTTGTACTCCTTTAGGGTACATGAGGCGTTTGTGCAGTCTTTGGGCGTCATAGTGTGTCTGTTACTAGTATATCCCTAATGGATTGATCTCTTCTTAGCACAGCGGCCATCGTAAGAATGAGGGCATGAAGTATTCTGCGGTGATCGCAAAGACGAAGACATTGGACCACGCGGGGTAGACAATAGCAAAAGAAAAAGAAGAAGAAAAATCGAATGACGTAGACTGTAGAGTCGAGAGCTTTTAGTCACATCTCTAGCTTCCTGCATGGACTTACTTTTGTTCGGACCGAGCTGAAGCGGGTCAGGCCGCACGAATGGCTGCAGTGGCAGGGGCGGTCAGCGCCGTCAGAATCGTGGCCTCTGCAAGAACATGTGGCCTTGGCCAGCATCATTATTAGCCTGATAGAGAAGGTCTCTCCTGACACGTCGCTATTTCTTGGTGCCGGCTCCTAAACAATTCGCAAACTTACTCGAGGGTTTTGTACTCTTGGAAAGAAATTAACACCTGCAAACCCAAGCTATACCTCTTCTTTTGCGGCCGGGATTGTATACAGCGCACTCACCCGATAGGGTACACCGCACAAAATGGTAAGTCGTCTACGACCTCAAGATTTGAAGCCCCAATTTGAGGGATTATGTTTATGCCTGATGGGAGCTTACATTGTCTCTTGTTCAGAACTCCCTCTTCAATTCCGCCCTCAAGCAGTCATCTGCTATCCGCCGTGACCTGGACACATTCTCCCAATCGCCAGCTACCTCATCTGCCGCACTACAAGGTATGTTTCGGAACTGGTGCTTATAGTGGCTCCACTACGCAACAGAGGGAGCTAAGCTCATGTGCATTATAGGACAAATCGCTGCTTCGTTAGCATCGCTATCACGCACCGTTGACGACTACTCTGCTCTGTCCAAGAAGGAATTGATCCCGGAGAAGCAAGAGAAGGCATTCGAACGAGTCAAGAATTTCCGATCCGAACTGGCAGATTACCGGCAACATTTTGATCGACTACGGAAAGAACGGGAGGAAGCTGTAAGGATACCACTCGCATCTTCGAGCAGCGTTGAGAGTTATTGTCGCTGACCATGGTTTGTCTACAGCAATCCGTCACCAACCGCAACGAGCTCCTCGGTCGACGCCCTCATCACACAGCTACACCGGAGAATCCATATGCCCAATCATCCCTCCCTCAGTCCTCTGCGTTCGCTCCTTCCTCATCACGATCGGGACTCAGCTTTGGAGCTTCGCCGGCCGACTACAACCGGGAAACACATGCACTTCGCGAACAAAGCTTCCTAGCGAGCACCAACACCCAGATAGACGAGTTTCTTGATCGGGGTCGTGCTGTGCTTGCAGATTTGGGACAGCAGCGTGAAGTGCTGAAAGGCACGCAGCGGCGACTCTACAGCGTTGCGAACACACTGGGCGTCAGCGGCGACACAATCCGCAGGGTTGAGCGTCGCGCAAGACAAGACAAGTGGATCTTCTGGGGCGGAGTGTTGCTCTTCTTCCTGTTCTGCTGGGCTGTCCTGCACTTCTTGCGATAGTTGTGGTACATATTTCTTTTCGTTCCCCTTTATATTGTTTTTTTGCTTTTACCCCTTACCTTTCTGGGAATATTGTGTTTTTGGTGCTTGGGTTGTTTTACAAGCGCAGGCGTTTGGAGCGCATTGGCAGGGGGACTTATTGCGCATTATTGTATGTACTTGAGTGTGTGGATGTGGTGATGGCTAGTAGTCTATACGTAGTCCCTGTAGCAGGACTGATTAGATTCGCTGTCCCCGTGCGCAATGGGAATTGGTTTGAGTGTGGAGTAACCCTGAAGTAGTGCGCCGTAGACAAGGAAGACGGACGGGTGGATGGAAAAGGTTGGGGGGGGGACGTGGCCATCGGTTAATTTAGGGACCATGGAGCAGATCCCATAGCAACGTGGCAATGAAAGCAATTGTCTAGAGAGGTTTAATTCAGTTTGAATAAAGTCAAAAATGACTACCCATTGGCATCGGAGAACCATTGACGACCAGCATATGAATTGAGGGTCGGTAGGACGGAACCGGAGCAAGTTGCCAGGCAGAGTGGACAGACAAGGCAAGCACGACAAGATGATCCGATGGCTGCCGTGGGGATCGGAAACGGAGCCATTTAGCCGCCCCAAAATCCTTCGCGCTCACCGGCCACCGACGGCTTCTCCCTTCTTCTCCTTCTTCTCTCTCCTCCTTCCTCTCCATCGCAATTGTTTCTCTTCTCTTCTCCCCATCTCCCCATCCTTCTTCCAGATAGATCTACCTTTAGTCTATCCTTCACAGTCAAGATGTTCGCTGCTCGTCAGTCCCTCAACCTCCTCCAGAAGCGTAGCTTCTCCGCTTCTGCCAGCCAGGTGTGTAGTCCAATTAAAAAAAAACATTGCCTCGGAGCTCTCTTGTTCCCTTGCTAACCATCGCAATTTCCATCTCAGGCTTCCAAGGTTGCCGTTCTCGGTGCCGCCGGTGGCATTGGCCAGCCCCTGTCCCTGCTCATGAAGCTCAACCCCCTTGTCACTGACCTCGCCCTCTACGACATCCGCGGTGGACCTGGTACGTCGCACAGCTTCTCCCTTCCCTCAACTCTGAAACGCCCATCCGATCATCGGAGTCGACTAACAGAATCCTCAAACAGGTGTTGCTGCCGATGTCAGCCACGTCAACACCAACAGCACCGTTAAGGGCTACGAGCCTACCCCCTCTGGCCTCCGCGATGCTCTCAAGGGCTCCGAGGTTGTCCTCATCCCTGCCGGTGTTCCCCGCAAGCCCGGCATGACCCGTGATGGTATGCGCTGGACCACTTCAAGACGAGGCAGAGCACGAGCGTCAGACTAATCTCTCCATTTAATAGACCTTTTCAACACCAACGCCTCCATTGTCCGCGACCTCGCCAAGGCCGCCGCTGAGGCTGCTCCCGAGGCTAACATCCTCGTCATCTCCAACCCCGTACGTTGTTCTCAAATCACCACCAAAATTCTCGAACCTTGTACTAATTAGGTACCCCCAGGTCAACTCTACCGTCCCCATCGTTGCCGAGGTCTACAAGTCCAAGGGTGTCTACAACCCCAAGCGCCTCTTCGGTGTCACCACCCTGGACGTTGTCCGTGCCTCCCGCTTCATCTCCCAGGTCAAGGGCACCAGCCCCGCCAACGAGAACGTCACCGTCATCGGTGGCCACTCCGGTGTGACCATCGTTCCCCTCCTCTCCCAGTCCAACCACCCCGACATCTCCGGCACCGTCCGTGACGAGCTGGTCAACCGCATCCAGTTCGGTGGTGACGAGGTCGTCAAGGCCAAGGACGGTGCTGGTTCCGCCACCCTCTCCATGGCCATGGCCGGTGCTCGCTTCGCCGACTCCCTCCTCAAGGCCGCCAACGGCGAGAAGGGCATCGTCGAGCCCACCTTCGTTGAGAGCCCTCTCTTCAAGGACCAGGGTGTTGACTTCTTCGCCTCCAAGGTCGAGCTCGGCCCCAACGGTGTTGAGAAGATCCACGAGGTTGGCCCCGTCAACGAGTACGAGCAGGGTCTCATCCAGACTGCCCTCGGTGACCTCAAGAAGAACATCCAGAAGGGTGTTGACTTCGTCAAGGCCAACCCTTAAATGGTTTTTGGACTTTCTTGAAGAAGGAACAAAATTGCAATACCTCTCTGCAGCCGCTTTCCTCCCTGTATAACAGTCTTGTGATAATCCATACCCACTTCCCGCCCCCTATGCACATCCCCTTCTCGCATGTGGCTTTTATATCGGAGGAAATGTAGCTGCGGAAACTCGCATAGCAATGAGTTTTTGAAGAGCCTGGGTTTGCCAGGGGAGATGGACATGAACGTGTATTTCCTATAAATAAGAAAATCTAATGATTCAATGACTAGTATTGTAGCCATTTCGGTACCTGTAGGATTCAGAACTGCACGCTGGTCTATTTACTACCTACCGCGGTCAACAATTGCCTCGGCTGCACCAAGAAAATCGAACCCGCGGCTAAAACTCAAATCACCGAGTCAACAACCAATTCATAGTCCGGGACAGTCCCAACCAAACCATGAATTCCGAACCGATCCAAACACAAATACCAGCTCGTGACGAATCAACCACACAACAAAAGAAACAGAATAATGAAAAGACAAAAGAGGATCATAAGCGAGAAAACTCAGTAAGGCTAACAGTAAATATGTATATAATACTCTATGTCTACCACTCCCGGACCAACAACATCCACTCTTTTGAGTCATATATTTCTATTCAACTTCAGTAGTTGAGTAGGATCATTGACAAAATGGAGTCGGAATTGCTAGATATGATACATACATGGCATGGCATGAATAAATACTTTACTATAAGATTTCCCATTTCCTGGTATGATCATGTATCACAGTTGTACTATTATCATGATGGTATGTATAAAGATTAGTATGGTCTATGCATGTATCTACTACTTACCTGTCTATCCACCTATCATTGGAGAATAGTTAATTATCAGTGATGACTGACTGGGATTGTGTTTGGATTATCGGTACCAGTAAGTTTTACAAATCATAATGCTGCAAGTACTGCTGCTGCCAATTGAGACGGAATTCTATGGATGGACTACTAGTTCTAATTGAGTGCGGCTTGAGGAGTATGAATATAATAATAGTAAGTAGGAGCAGCAGAACAAATCAGAGGTGTGATTTTTGCATTGTATCTTTATCCTGGAACTTTCCGACTACGGTGATCGTTGTTTTTTGGTAGATTGCTAGATGCATGGTAATGCACTTGCAGCTGACCGGCAGGTATTTGGGGGTGGATAGTAAATACTATACAATCTTGATGGTTCTGTCTGAAATATCTACTAGGTTGGTATGGTAGGAAATAGATAAGGACAGTCAAATAAGAGTGGGGTATTTCGTTTCTCATTGTATTCCAGAATGTTAACTAGTAATAATTGTTATCTTGTCATCATCCTTGTCATCATCATCACGGGGGTCGTCGACAGCGGCAAGCGCAGGTGTAGGTGTCAAAAAATCAACATCAACAGGAATAAAACAACGCATAGAAGACAGATCTTTGGCAGTGCGCGACACGCAAATAAAACCTTGCTTCATACTAAGGGGTAGTTCGGTCAAATTGCAAACAGAAAAGACGAAGAACGGAAAAATGGGGGATAGATCATAGTCTTCGCTCGAATGAGTACAGCGATACGATAATGCAAGCCAGAAGGAAATTGACTAGGTATAACTTCTCATAGCATCGAGGTATCCTGACCCCCCGCGGAGGTCGCGGTCGAAGGTTTCGGCGACCTCCAAGACCCGTCGGATGTGTTCCATGGATAGAGGGTTTTGCTCGTTAACAGCCAATGCTTGGGCTGTGCGGACGGAGTTTTTGATCTAAGAACAGGTGAGTTAGTATCGGTACACGTTCGCGTAGGCTAAATGGAGGTCTTACCTGACGCCCGTTGAGGTTATGACGAGCTAATAGATCAAAGTCCTTTTCTGTGAACGTGGCGGTCTCCACGCCCTCCTTGGCCTGCACCCGCTCCAAGAACATCTTCCAGACGCTTCGCTTCGCTTTCGTGGTGAGTTCACCGTAGCGCAGAGCGACGTGGATGCGGGATTGGAAGGCGTCATCAAATGTCTCGACGCGGTTGGTGGTCAGGAAGAGAATACCCTGGAAGTACTCCAGCAACCGCAGGAAGATACTCACTAGGGCATTGCGGTGAATGTCCTGGATGGTGCGCTTCTCCAGGAAAATGTCGGCTTCATCGAGCAGCAGAACGGCGCCCCAGGAATGTGCGATGTCAAGGATCTTGTTCAGCTCTGCTTCAAGAGTGCGCGGATCAGTGCCCAGCTCACCCGCGCTCACCATGTAGAGCGGGCGTTTGAGGAGTTCTGCGATGCCTTCGGCAGTAAGGGTTTTACCAGTACCGGGAGGTCCGTGGAGCACGGCCACGAGACCCTTGCCCTTGCCTTGGATGACATCGTCGATGTTCTGGGCCGCGCGGAAGGTGTGCGATTCGACCAATGCCTTGACGATGGACTTCTGGTTGTCGGGGAGGACCAGCGAATCAAAGGCATCTTCGTTCCATTCAATCTCACTGATGCCCGAAATGCTGAATTCAAGCCACAGCTTCTCACTAAAGGCGAAGCCGAGTACCACGGGGCTTGCGATGAGGAGCTCCTCTTCGGTGAATTCGCGGTCGGAGGGGTCGGCGACTTCGTCCATGTTCTCCTTGACGATTTCATTGCCGTTCTCATCCAGCTCGACCTCGACGACGTGTGGCTTCCCCTCCTTGTCCCGTACCACTTTGAATAGCAGTTGAGGGGTGTCTGAGTCGCGCGGTTGCCCGTAAGTTTGTTCTGATTCTGAGTCGGACAGAATACAGCAGCAACCATTGTTGCTGCCATCATCGTCGGAGCCGTCAAGGTAGTCTGGGTCCTTGGGACGAACGGTACTGATGGGGTAGTTGGGATTGATGCGCCGGTGGATGGCGGGATCAACCATGACACGGCCATTGATGTTGACCTTGATGACGGACCGTTTCTTTTTGTAGAAAGCCATACCTTTGTGATACCGGTAGTTCATGCCTCGCAGCGCCACAAATTTCTTACCTCGCTCGATCAGCTTGGCCTTGACACTCTCGGCTTCGCGATGATACTTGAGCGGATAACAGCTAAGACTGGTGATTTTGCGGGCACCCTTGAAGGATTCCACCTCGGCGGCCATGGTTCCCATACCGAAAGCTTTGCCATCGTACTCGAGGTAACGACCCTCAATGCTGTACCATTGACCCTTCATGAAGGAGGACTCCTTGGTGGCGTACTCGATCTTGAAGGCACGAGGCTCATCCTGGTTTCCGTAGGTAGAGGAGTAGGCGACGGTGTTGGGCTTGAAGATGGCCCATAGGAGATCGAAGGTGATCATGCTGGAGTCCAACAGAGGGTAGAGGGTCTTCTTGGTTTCGGCATAGTCGGTGTCCAGATACTTGACGAGCACCTTGAGATGTGATGCCTTGATTTCGGCGAGCTTGCGGGCTTTCTTCTTCTTTTCGGTCTTGGCTAGCTGCCGGAGATCTTTCATGTACTGCCGCGTCTCCTCAAGGTAGAGGAAGAGCATGTTGGGATCGACAACCGCCGTCTCCTGCACCAAGCTGACGCCCTTGACTCCATCCATGACCTTGGACAGCGCATCGCGCAGGTACTTGCTCTTTAGGTCTACTACAGTTTCCAGATACTTGTTGTCCCAGTCGAACTTGCGGCGCACGGTGAAGAGGTATTGGTCCCACTCGTTTGCATCGGGGTCGTCGACCGTCTCCGTGAGCTTGAAGTTGTGAATCGTATTGTCCCACACTGTAGAATTATGTGTTAGCTAGATCAAGAGTAAAGATGAAGGAAGACGCACGCTGATCTACACGCTTAAAGGCAATCTTCGAGGCAGCCTTCTTGCGTCCCTTGGACTTCTGCGAGCTCCCTTTCTGGCCGTCAGTGTTACCATCACCCGAGCCACGCCTGCCTCGGCCTTTGCGACGCCCATCGGCCAACTTGACACGCAAGGAAGCCAACTTTTGCTTGGCTAACAGAAGGGCGAGCTCATCAGCGTCGGCATCCTCGTCGGCATCATCATCGTCGTCTTGTTGCTCTTCGGAAGAGTCATCCTTAGAGCGCGACTTCTTGGTCTTCTTCGCCTTGAGCTTGGCGACCAGCTTCTTCAGGGTCTTTTCGTCAAGAGACGAATCGGAGTCGCTACTATCCTCGAGATCGGAATCGGATTCCGATTCAGTCTGATGCGACCGGCTCTTCTTCTTACGGCTCACACTTTTGAGCGATTTCTTGATCTTGTTCTTGGCCCGGCGGCGACGCTGTTTGCGATCCGACTCCGCGTCGGACTCCGAGGCCGACTGAGCGTCTTCGTCGTCGGAGGTAGATTCCCCGCTGGATTCCTCGTCCGAGGAATTTAGTTCCGACGAGCTGTCATCGCTGGGGGTCACAATGGAGGCGGCCTTGCGGTGAGACTTTTTCTTTTTCGAGCGGTTGGGATCCTGGTCTTTTGCCGCATGCTTGGAACACACGGACTTTTTGGGAACGGGATCGGAGACAGGGACGGGAGCTTTGGGGTCGGACTTGACTGGGGGAGTATCGACGGGCGGGTCGGCGTCAAGCTTGGATTCGGGGGAGGAGGAGACGGGGCCACTAGCGTCGGCCATGGTGGTACCAGTCACAGCGGTCGTAGTACTGCTGGAGTCGCTGGTGGTGGCAGGGAGTGGAGCTGAGCCAGGGACCGGGACGGGCACAGGCCCACTGTTGTTGGAGCTTGGGTCGCGCTGAGTCTCGAGCTCAGTTTGCTGGGAGGTGGTAGATTGGGAATCAGTGGGGATGGTCATGGCCAGTGAGTAAGAGAAGTTGGGAATATATGGAGGGAATATATGAAGTGATGAAGAGAATGCAGAAGAAGGGAAGGAAGGAAGGAAGTAAAACAGGTGAAGATGAATGGATGAACAAGTAGTAGTGATATGGGGGGGTAGAAGGGAGAGAGTGGATGAAAGGGAAGAAGTTGGGTGGGAAATGTCGTGGATGGGAAATGGGGAGAAAGAGAGAGAGAGAGAGAGAGGGAGAGAGAGGATGAGAGGATGAGAGGATGAGGAGAGAGACAGACTCACATACTCGGATGCCTAAGAATAAAAAAAGTATCCTCGCTTGCAAGAGCGCCTTGCGTGTTGGCCCAGCAGATGGCGGTGTGTGCTGCCTGACCACCCAAGATGAGAGAGGAAGCAGAAGTAGTAGTAGTAGTAGTAGTAGTAGTAGAAGAAGAAGAAGAAGAAGAAGAAGGGAAGAGAAAAGAAGGGAAGTGAAAGAGAACAAACAAAACTGACAGGCAGATCGACGAACAAAAGTAATTAAATAAATAAATAAATAACCCCAAGAGTGAGGCGATTGATTGTGACTGACTCCAACTCAAGAGCAATGATGCCTGTTCACAGTTGCTTCTCTGCCTACTGCATAATAAATAATTACAGTAAAACTACTGACACCCTAAAGAAAGAAACTCGCCGGATTGGGGAAGAGGCTGGGATAGCTTCAGAAACTGGCAGTACCAATCATAATATGCAAATCTCACCGGGTCAGCAAATGCATCAGGATTGGATTGTCACCCTGTTAGGCGCTTGGGGAATAAAAGTGGCACAGACTTCCGAACCCCCAAACCCAAACAGCCATTCAGCCGCAGGATCATCAACTGGATCATCTCTCGCAGAAGTCTTAGAGGGAGAGCCATCCCCGGTCACCGACATTTGCCCAACGTGCGTGTGTCTCACATGCGCTGTCAGTGCAGTTTCCAGTCACGCTTGGGGATGGAAAGTTGACCCGATATTCAGATGGGATGATCATCAAAGATGGAATACTACTAGTAAGTAGTAAGTAGTCACGGAATAACAGGCAGAAGTAGGCAGTAGTGACATACTACTCTACTACTAAAGTTAGAATGAGGAGTCATACTGACCCTTCATGAACACTGACAGACAAGCCTGGCTCGTATTCGTCCGAGTTCTGACCAACTGATATTCTCCGTTCCAGTTCCAGATCCCTGTCTGCCTGCAGCTGAACCAGGTGAAGAATCCCGACTCCATTGCAATGTCCCGGATGGACATCCGCGGCAAAGTACCCCGGCTCCGTACTTTTGTACCGTCAACCCTAAGCAACATCCATGTCTTCCAACCGCGAGTTTGAGAATCTCGAATTAAGATGCTTACTCGCATTACAATAGGACTATATGCTCTTACTAGTAAGAATATGGTAGATTCAGATCTGTAATGAACAATGGCAGAGAGCATACTCTACAGCCAATAGATTCACCGGTCAGTAGGAGACTTACAACACCAGTTGTAGTATGCAAATACGTGGATGATTCCGATATCTCGAGATAACCGGATTATGCCTACACAAGCCAGTAATCTTGACATTACATAGTACATCCAATCAACATCAGTTGTCATCTATACCTAGCTAGCATCATCGCTTCCAAGTGTTAGTGCTCCATACATAGTATACATTTCACTCCCATCTGAGTTCTTATGCAATACAAGTAGTATACACTGCACTCACCTCTACATCATCTAAACGCAGATACTCCTAGTATAGACTACTAGATGAGTCCACCATCCCTACCAACAACCCATACCCAAAAAAACCACCCAATATCAAGATACATAGACCACAACACTCTCCAAACCCTGGGTAGTTCCTACCAAACACCAGTATAATAACCAACCACCCATAGCAACCCAACAACCCAGTCCAGCTAATCCACAACTACAATTCACTCAACAAGAACAGAACAATCGAATCAAAATCACTTCACTGTCACAGCAACACTGACAGAACACAACTCACTTCTATGTTAATCCTCCCCTTCTGCCACTCTCACCTTCCCATTCCCATTCCCACCTCACCTCCCTCATCCTTCTACATACCATCCTATCACATCACCATATCACCACTACCACAAATACTAAGACATGAACAAGATGTCCACCACCTTCACCCCAGTCAACAATAATACCCCCGGTCACAAGAACAACACTGCTCCAAAGACCCCTACCAAGAAGACCAACGTGGCAATGGTAAGTACTATGCTATACTCTATACACTCCCCACCACAACACCCACATACAACCAAACCATATACACACACACAACTAACTAAGATTACCTTACCCATGAAACTAGACCCCCAAAACCCCAACTCCCACCTCAACCAACACCAACAGCAAAAAACGCCTCACTCCATCCTCTCCCACTACCAGTCCCAACAACAAACGTACTAAAGCACGCACCCCCCTCCCACCCATCCCAACGACCCTCGCCTCCGCCAGTGCCTCCGACCTCCTCATCCTCCGTCTCCGCGACGAATCTTCCACCCCCTGGACCGCCATCAACCAGGCATGGACGGAGCTGACGGGGATCAGTGTGGGCGGGTCGACCCTCCGAGCGAGGTACAATACCATGAAGAAGAATTTTGTGGTCGTGGATCCGGGTGATGTATTCCTCCCTTTTTCATATCCATTTCCATTCTATATATGTCTATATATATTTGTTGGGGGAGGGGGAGGGGAGGAAGAAGGGTTTGGCTAATGTGTGTATGCTATGTGATAGGAAGCAAAGATCCTCCAAGCTAAGAAAGATATCGAGGGACGATTGGAGACGGAGAAGTGGAGATTGATTGCTGAGGAGGTGGGGAAGCTTGGTGGGGGAACTTATCCTGGGGAGTGTTTGAGGAAGTATGTGAGGGAGATGGAGAAGGGGATGAAGGGGGTTGCTTCTGCTGCTACTGCTGCTGCTAACGGTGGTGATGGTGGTGGCGGTGGCGATGAGAGTGAGGGTGAGGATGATGACGATGTGAAGATGGAGGCTGAGGAGGATTAGCTGAGTTGTGACCGTGGCTATGGCCTTGAGTTCTTCTGCCGTTGAGCTTGCTGGTGGGTATTGGGAAGTCATAAAGTGATAGACAGACATACAGCTGGCATTCATTCAAGATAAGGATAGTCAATCAATGCTTGTTTACTCCAATTCTCTGTACTCGAGGTATCATAATCAAAATGAAAGTAAAAAAAAAATCACAACACACTTAATTCCCGACGCCCGTAATCCTCCATCCCATCCCTCATATAATCATCACTGTCTGTGCGGGCTACTATCGCCGGCCGGATCTTCGTCCCTACGAACCCACGCCGGTCTCGTCCCGTGCGTCCACGGCCTAGCCAGTTATGCTTCAGCTCCTTGCTCAGGAGCTCGATCTGCTCTTGTGCTCGATCGCCGGTTTGCACGCTGGCCAACACGCTGACGCACTGGAGCATCCGTCCCACGGTCTCGGTGATGATGTGTGACGTGTCTGTGTGCGAGGACCGGTGGATGATACTGGGCCGCTGCGTCGGTGACGAGAATGATTGGAAAATCAGCTGGTCCGGGTTGGACGTGTTGGACGCCGCCCGGCTGCGGTTGCAGTCCAGCGAGTCAGATGAGTAGCTGTTCGCGGCGTTGAGGAGCGTCGACGACTGCGAGCTGTAGCTGCCGAACCCGCCGTCCAGCGAGGCCGATGTCGTCGGCCGTGCGCTGTTGCTGCTGCTCTTGGTCGTGACGCTCAGCGCTGCCGTGCCGAGCTTGATGCTGTCTAGACTCAAACGGGAGAAGGTTGCCTTTAGCACGTCATACCGGTAGAGGATGACCATGTCGCGGAAGGCAATCAGAACGAGGTTGCGCACGTCCAGATCGCAACCGGGGTACTCGCCGTTGAACGTGGATGACCAGAACTCACTGGCTTCGCGGCGGTTCATGACGGACCCGCATCCCTTGAACTCAAGGTCTAGGGGCAGAAAGACAGCTTGGATGAAGGGCAGGATCGTGCCAAACACGAGCATCCACACTTGTACCAGGTGAGGGACCAGCTTCTCATCGGGGATGCCGTTCAGCGTATGGTTCAAAGATGCACATCCAGTCTCTAATAGCTCGCGCAAGTCGTCTACCACTGCGGTGGGCATGCGTTTCTGGACGCAACGCTGAATATGGATGAGGACCAGCTTATTGAGATCCTCGATGGCGATACGAACATCCTCTCCGTCGAAGATAACCATAAGCTTGGCCTTGAGAAAGTCCCACGCATCTTCCGGCGTCATGTTATTCAGTCCAAAGCCCTGGAGGGTCTCTCGAAGAGCTGCCTCTGCCAGAACTCCCGTGGAGCTGCCCAGCGACGATGGCCCTGCAAACGTCCCCGGCGCAGGTCCCGACGAGTTAGCCACCCAATCCAGCTGTTCCGAATCTAACGCCTTCTCTTCCTTCTTCTTATCTCGTAACCCGTGGAGCAGGTCCAAGCCGCTCACGCTTTTCCCAAACGTAGTCGTGACCGCACCAGGCGAAGCCGGGGTAAAAGAATACAGCGACTGAGGGGCATTCGGATCCGAAGGTTTCGAGTTACTCGACGCCGACGACAGCGGCAGGTTGTAATGATCATCTCGGTCTTTCAGCTTCAACTTCTGCCGCGACAAGAAGTGATGCTTGTGCTTATCCTTATCCTTCTCTTTCTCCTTCTCACTCCCCACCGGCTTATCGGCCGGAACCACCGTACTTGCCGACGCATTCGACAAGTTGTAGAGTGACGAGTTATTAGAGGGAAACGTATCAGCCAAGCTCGTCGTCGACGCACTCACGATCCGCGATAATCCTCCGCTCGGGAAACCCATCTTACTCGGCGACGGCAGGCCGCGGTCCTTGCTGATCCCGTCCTTATCCCGACTGATCCCAATATGTTTCGGTTTCGAGAATAGCTTCATCTTCGATTTCTCGCCCTTGTGCTTGTGCTCCCGCTCTACGGGCGGCTCCAGGCCGGGCGGCTGCAGCGCTGGATTCCGGGGAAACACCACATTTGCCGCCGTCGTTGCGGCATGTGTATTCCCATTTGTAGACCCACTTTGATATGATGCCCCGGACGCACTTCCCGCGCTTGTTGGGGGCGCAAACAACGGCGCTGGAGGCGGCGGGGGCGGAGGGGAAGCGCTTCCGCCTCGTCGGGACCGAGAACCGTCTTCTGATACACCCCGCACTGGCGGAGGACGCTTAGGAGGATTCTGAGGAGCGGTCTGCTGTTGCTGAAGCATGGCCGCCTGGGCTGCGATTCTGGAAGCGGAGATGGTAGCCTCGGAGGAGGATGCGGTGGGGAGGGACGGTTCGAAGAAGCCCTGCGAGTGGTGACGAGAGCGTCTCTGCAGTTCCGGCGGGCCACCACGACCCGACGGTTTCCTGCTCAGGATCTCACCATGAGGCATGAAGGAGACGGGGGATCGAATCGTAGAAGAAGAAGAGGAGGTAGTATTTGTGGTGGCGGTCGAGATGGGAGGAGGAGGAGCGGTGGTGTTGGCGGTGATGGAAGAGGTACGTGGAGGACGAGGAGAGGAGGTCACCGACACGGCACCGGGATTGAAGGCAGAGTGACGCGGCGAGATGGTGGTCACATTGGAAGTAATCGACGAGGCATCACTGCCTGAGGAAGCAGGGCGGGCGTAGGAGAAGTCGTCGAAGGAGCGGCGAGGGGGCTGTGAAAGTGGATGATGAGGAGGTGGAGGAAGAGGTGAGCGAGACGAGGATCGCTCGGGCGACACCGGCGAGCGCAACATGATGTGAGCGAATAGATGGCTTCGGAGACAATGCTATCGAGACACAGACCCCGAACCCATGATATGAGGGGAGGAGGAGAAAAGTCGTGCTGGCGGCGAAAACCAGTCAGTCTAGATCCCCTGGATTGATTGCTTGCTTGTTTGGCTTTCAGCCGCCTTGGGGAGGATCAGCGACCGAAAAGGCGCCCGGCCGGACGATCTTCGCTCGTGAAACAAATCCAGCGCAAAGCAAGTCTTCCCCTCCCGCCCGCACGTCCTTTCTTTCTCCAACTTTATCCATTCCACTTGATTCCTTCCCCGCGACATATACCTCGATTCTTATTCTATTTTCATCCTCCACGCAACCTCTCACAATGTCTGCCAACAAGCTCCATGCTGCTTATGTCGCCCCCGACCAGTCTCGCACTTTCGAGCACAGCATTTCTTCCCCGCTCCCCTCCGCCGACGCCGTCCCTCAGAAGGTGACCTATCTCGCTGAACTACGCAAGCTCGTACCCACTCTGCAGAACGACATCAACGTATTCCTGACCGAGCGCATGGAAGAGGATAAGAAGGCTGCCGAGGCACAGGGTCAAAAGGTCTCTGATAAGGAAGCCAAGGAGGAGGAAAACTACGGAGAGGAGGTTGTGGAAGAGGATGCTTGATCCTGCCATACCCGAAATTGAGACAATTGAGAGAAAGTGTGTGGATGCTACGGCTGACGAAGAACGAATCACGACTAAATAAATCATATGCATGGATCCTTGAATACCGCTATCCCGGGGTATCATCGTGTAGGAAATGTCCGCCACTCCGGTATGCTTTCGTTGAACAAGACATGGCCAGGAAATGCGGAAGGAAGATCAAACAAAGCGAGAAAAAAGAAAAGAAACCAGGAAAAGCACAGAAAAAGCCGCGATAACCGGTACCACAATAAACCACAAACCTCTATATACACACAAGTCAGGCTCAACGCATGCGATTGGCACAGCCAAGATGGACAACCGTGTTACTGCCTTCAGTTAGCCAGGCTCGAGTCATCAGATTCTGGTGATACTCACTCCGGAAACACATTAATCACACTGCCTCCGATCCGCTTGTGGCAGATGCCGCAGACCCGTTCTTCGGTAATGGTGACATGTCGCGAGCGCGTCGATCGCCCGTCCGTCCCCTCTCCTACCAACAATTGCGCCTGCGTCTTGATGTCTTCTGCCTTTTGCAGGTTGGCCACGATCCGGCTCTCGTTGAGGATTGTGTTGGCGGCCCGCATACGGCCTTTGAAATAGAACTCGAGCTCTTTGACCGGGAGCGTTTCCGGGATCAGATCCAGAGCAGAATTAGGTGGCAGCCGGGATCCATGTTTGGCCAGCACCTCAAGCGCGGGCCCGTACCGTGGCTTGTAGCCATGCGGCGGCGATAGATATAGAGACAATAGAGTCAAATAAATCGGTGGTTTATCATCCTCATACGGCAGTAGAGCTACACAGCGCGAAGCCGCTCCATCCGCAGCAGTCGTATCCTCCACTTTATGGAGATGATTACAGTATCTGGACGGTCAGCAGATTTCACGTAAATCGATAAATGCAACTCACTCTTCGGCCTTGACGTAGTCTTCCAACTTGAACACGTAGATTTCCAGTGCCTGCCGGTGCTGTCCCATCTTGCTGAAGACAATCGCACGTGCCTCGAAGAACTCGGGATCTGTCGCAAGTCAGCAACGTAATGTAAGCGCAAGAAGGGTACTCACCGTCCCGATCCAGTCGATCCAGAATCTTGGCTGGAGAGTACTGGGAGCTGGACTTGAGCATATTCAGGAACTTGCTCTGCCAATTAACATAGTCATCCAGACTAGAAAACTCCCACTCTTTCGCCTGATGCTTCTTCAGTCGTTCCAAGTAAAGGACGAGCAGTTTCTGATGCAAATCTGGTGTCATATCATTCAACTCCCCAATGATATGCTCCAGGTATCTGACAGCCAGGTTGACATCAATGCCCTGCAGAAAGTCTAGCACGCGCTCTCTTGGCAGCGTCTCTGCGTTCTCCGTATCTGCCAGGAAAATCTCCATGCCCAGCTCAGGATCCTGGCGTACCGGCCACTCAGCAAACTCGAGAATCAAATCAATATGGTCTGGAGACAGATTTTGCAGATAATTGACTGTTCGCTTCGGTCCGTGCAGCTGCGGCGCTGTCTCTTCTTCCTCGTCGGCTTGTCCAAACTTCTGGAGTAACTCCAACGCCTGCCGGTGCAGCTTCTTTCCATACAGAAAGTCAATCAGATCGTTGTGACGTCCTGTCTCCTCCAGTTTCTCCATCACCACATCCGGGTCACAGAAGTTGGCAATGCGGAACAATGATCCTGCCAGTGCTGGAATCGCGTACATGTACGCCCGGAAGAGAGTCGTGTCCACGAGTCTTGCCTTTTCCCGCAGCTTTTCCCCAAGATCATACTCACCCTCCGGATCAATACTCAGCAGCTTCATGACCGAGTCCGTCAACGCATCGTTCGCGCCGTCCGTCGTCGCATCGACCACCTTCAGCGTGCCATCCGGGTTCAGGAAGCGCTGGAACCGTCTCCGCACATCCGCCAGATACCTCTGCAGGTCACGAACAGCCAGCTTGAGATCGGCCCCTTCCAGCGCCTTGTCACTCTTGGCATCCTCGACGACCTTGCCCCGAATACTGCCCGCATCGCTGGCATCATCTGTCCGCGTTCGCAGAAGTGACATCACAGACGGAGCATGCGAGAGTGTCTTTGGTGCTGGCGGCTCCTCCGCAGCCGGCGCGTCCGCAGGGCTATTGTTCTCTTGCGTCTTAGACTGGCTATCTGTCGTCCCATCTTCGGACTCCTCCGGCTCCTCGACAATCGACGACAGCTCCCCGGCGATGATCTTCGGATACAGTCGTATAACCGTCTCCGGGGGCGCAGATATTTCCGTAAACAGATCCATCGAATCAGTATACTTTCGCATCTTGAACAGCCCCTCAGCCTTCTCCAGCTTGATCTGGCGCAGCCGGCCCTGCTTATCCCTTAGCAGCGCATCCTCCAGCATACTAGCCAGACTGATCGCCTCGTCCAGATACCCCTTCTCGACCAGCGAGTCAATCTGCGTATCATAACTCAGCGCCTCCATCCGCCATATCGTCCGATCACTCGCTACCAAGAACCCCTTCCCAGCATGCGCCAGACTAATCGTCGGCTGCGGGATATGCATAATACTGGCAGACGGTAACGGCACCGACTGCAACAGCGACAACGTCTCCGGATTCCGCACCTCCAACACCCCCTTCGAGGCATCATGCAGCGCCAGCAGAAATGGATACGAATACCCTATATCCGCCGGCGCATGACTCCAAGGTATCTGCCTCCTCCCCAGCGAATTCCCCTGCACGTCAATAAAATGCGTATTGATATCCTTCGCCAGCAACACCTGACCTTCCTTCAACCTCGTCGCCAACGGCTTCGGCGCACTGCCCCCAAGCCCCATATAACTCATACTGGCGACTCCCACCCCTGCCAACCTCCCCGTACTCTCCTGACCCCCTAACCCCCCTATCCCAGACGGACCAGTCAAATCCGTCACCGTCCCACCACCATCCCCCTCAATATCAACCATGACAAACCCAGACCCCAACCCAGCCACCAACCTCGTCCCAGACACCCACGTCAACGTCTTAATCCCACTCACCAGCGTCATCTCCATCGGCCCGCCCGCTTCCATCTCCATATCCCTCCACACCCACACCATTATCTTCCTCTTCACCGCCACCGCCACCCTCGACACAATAGCAGGCACGCCCGTTTCAGAATCATTCTCAATATTCGACGTCACCGCAAACGTCGTCGCCCCCTTCGTCTTCCCCAATTGCTCCTGCAACGAATACGTCCCCAGATCATGCAACGACACATATCCCCCAGACAGAGAAACAAGCACCTTAGCCTCCTTAATCAACGCCAACTGCTCGATCTTGTACCGCGAGAACTTTTCCACTTCCCGGAGCAGCTCCGTGGGTTTCTTGCTATGCTGTTGTTGCTCCCGGTTCCCGTTCGTAGTCCCGTTCGCGATTATCCCTGTCTCTCCGTTGCTGTTGCCGTTGCCGTTTCCATGTTGTTGTTGCTCGGTAGTATCTTTCTTTCCCCCCTTCCCCTTCCCATCACCATCCTGCTGCTGCTGCTGTGCCTCCCCCTCTTCTGTTTCTGCTTCTTCTTCCTCCTCCTCATTCACCCGATATATCCTCAAACTCCCATTATTCAGCCCCGCCAGGACGCGATCCCCATACGCCAGCACGGACTCGATGCGTGATCGATCGCGCGGTTTGAGTTCCACGAGCGGACGGGCCGTGAATGCGGATAACATCGTCGAAAGATGTTAACCCCCCGTCTGTCTTTGCTGCTCTCCTGCGTATGTATGTATGTATGTGTTGTGTATATATTCAAGTAATCGGTAGGGTATAGTGTAGGGCGGTGTGTTGGCTAGCTAGCTAGCTCGGTACGTTGCGGAGGATGGATGCTCGGGAGGTAGGTAGGTAATGCGCCGTTCGCGATCGATCGGGGGTTAGGTTCATGTCATGTCGTGGGTGTGAGAATGTGCAATTAGTCTCTCGGTGGAAAAGGGTGGAGTTAGAAGGTGGAAGTGGGTGTCATGGTAGTGGTGTTCGTTGTATGTATGTAGGTGAGTGATGTGGTGCGGTGGTTGGGCGGAGGTTGATTGATAGCGGCGGAGCTCCTACGGAGGAGTGAGTGTCCAGCTGGACCGGACAGCTGCCCTGTCTGTCTCCCCGGGCCGTGTGCCAAGATGGGTTTCCCCGGCTAGCTGTACTACAATCATCTTCGTATCTACAGTCTAGATTATCTTGTGACAGCATCCCTTGCGTGCCATTTGAATTTAAAGAAGTTTGTAGCATTGATTATATCAACGTTGTCTTGAGTATCTAGTCTATTATGCTAAGCTAACCGATGGATGGATGTCCTGCACACACACCGCTACTATCCCATCCATGGGTGTGCCATCCGCTGGCTTAAAGCTCCGATCCCATGCAATGAATCAATTCCATAACTGCCAACCGACCGATCAAAACCCATAACACAGCCCGACGGACCGCGACCGACAAGGAATCCGGACTTTTGCAAATATCAAGACCAAAGAATGAAGTGAACGCACGGCGCATGTACAATGTGAAGGTAAGCCAGATCCCGATCGGGAATGAGAGAAGGCAAAACCGATAGGTAGGATAACTATAAGACCGAATGGTCTAATGTGTTTCAAGCTTCGAATATAATAATAGTCGTCGGAATGCCTCTCAGATCATGCCTTGATCTCCGTGGGATATTCCTGGTGTTTGGCCGACGTGCCCTTCGCCCGCCATGTCGAAACAGCGGGGATGTCTGCCTTGAAGCGCTGCTCGTCGGTGCCGTATGCGCGCGGTGTAAGCTTGATCAGCGTATGGAGCGGCACCTCCATCCAGGGACTTTGCTCCTGCGGCGTGTTGAGGAAGTAGGCATAGATGCAGCGCAGCACGGCCTGGTGCGTGACAATGATGACGTTCTCGCTACGCTCCAGCTCCATGATAATTGGCTCTAGCCGGATGACCACATCGCGGTATGACTCGCCACCCCGGTAGCGGTAGTTGTACTTGTCCTCGTCGCGCGCAGCAAAGTCTTCCGGGTACTTCTCCGCAATCTGCTCGTACGTGAGTCCGTCGCAGACCCCGGAGTCGAGCTCATCCAGCGCCTTCCACTCTAGCTTCTCGAAGCCCGTCTCCGCAGCGAGATGACGAGCTGTTTGGATCGTACGTTTCAAAGTTGACGTCCAAATAACGATCTTGGTGTTGGGTGGAACCCCAGACTTCTTTAATAACCCGGGCAGCGCTCGGGCGTATGCCTCTCCTCGCTCTGAAATGTTAGAGTCGCCGCCAATTTTCCCCGTTAGATTATATTCTGACTCGCCGTGCTACATACGTTAGATCAATCGTATTTCCAAGAGGAGGAAAACTTACTCGAGACAACCAGATCGAGCGAGGTTTGATGTGAAGGTTCTGGATGTAGTAGACCAGCCGACTGGAAAGGTAATCCTTAATCTGATTAATGATGACGGTCGATCCGACATTGATGAGTTTGACGTAGGTGAAGTGCTTCTCGTTATCGTCAATGGTCTCATAGACCTTCTCATAATTGCGAATGCGGTTACGGAAATCGAGAGCAGCAACTTCCGGGTCCTGCCCCTTGTAGTCCGGCGACGTTGTCTTGACTTCCAAGATGTTGTTCATGATCAAGTCTTCGTCATCACATATTGACTCGACGTATAATGTTTCGACGTTTGCCTCCTGACAGCGTTCATGGATCCAGCGCCGTCGCTCTTTCGTAGAGTTGGTCGCATCCAAGATAGCTACGACGCCTTTCCCGGACTGAAACCACTGGAGCATATCAGACACCGCAGCCTCGGCGGCGGCGCGTCTCATTTTTTCGCCTTCGGTATTATGAGGGTCGAAGAAGTTCGCATTGGGCTGTGGCGTGCCTGCACGACGGTAGCTGCCGACGTTGAATACCCGAGCGGGGATGCCAACCCAGGCAAGATATCGCATAGCTGCATCAATTAGTGCCTGACGTCCAACAGCCAAAATCACCAGAGCGTACCTTTTCCAGCAATGAGACTCTTGCCTCTGGCTGGGAGGCCAACCATGACCACACAGATCTTGGAGTCATCGGACTAAGAAGAGTAAGTCTCTGGAGTGCTGCCATTGCGAAACGACGTAGATGCCCAAATTAAGAGCGAGAATTTGCGACGAAATGAACATGATACAGAATAAACAAGTAGCGTTGTAGTGCAATGTCCAGGGTCATCGCAGACCCGGGCAATTGCCCCTCCCAAAAGGAGGGGTATACAGCCTCACCGGACGCATGTCAGGGCAGTACATAACGTCACCGGCAACACTGGGTCACCGCGCCACTCAATCAACAGACAACGACAAAAGAACCGTTTCACTTACGCTGGCGAAATAATTATGGCCATTGCCCCTCCGAATGGAACCGGACGACATGATGAGTGAGCGAAAGGAATGAGCAGGGAGTCGACTCCTAGCTTGGATCGACTTGAATGGGATGAGGCGAACTCAAGACCTCGGCCACCAGGGGTGCCCGACCGGACGCAAGCCGGAAGAAAGGATATAGGGACGGATAAGGTCAGTAGCGGGTTAAAAAGCACAGGGCGTGAGAGTAGCGAAAGTGTGATAGAATCTGCAAGTAATGGGACGTGTCGGAGGGAGAAAATATTCTAGAAAGTTGAGTTTGGACAGATCCGGCCTGTCTTTGGTATGGGGGGAGTAGCAATAGCAAGTAGTACAAAGTAGTGGAAGTAAGTTAATCGATCAACAGCAGCTCTGGTTGGATGCCATTAAACCCAACAATTCGATGCGGTGAAGAACAAGAAGCACAGACGTCATGCCGCGGGGCAGTCGCAACAAGGCCGAGAGTTCCAGGCAGGAAGTATCCAGTCTTTTAAGAGTTGATTCATTCACTCCCTGAAGGTAAATCGAAGCAGCTCAGAACACCTCTGGAAAACTTCGGTCGCAGAATATCCGGGGAGATGGAAATTTCCCCAGTCTTGCCTGATCGTCTAGCCCCCCCGACAATTTCCCTCCGAATTGAACTACTAGTAGTAGTAATATTGCCTCCCTTCTGGCCACACGTGATCTCCTGCGTTTTCGTCGGGTAAAATCGCGACCGAATCTGGATGGAAGAGGGGCGCGTCGGGATGGATGAAGAGAGTCTGGATCTGGACGTGAAATTTTGGTGCAAAGTTCCTGAGAGGCTCCCCTGATGACACTTCTTATAGTCGAGGATCGCATGATATGATACTTACTTTGTACTATCATCCTGAATGATTTGATATCGAATGGAGCCACGCCGATTGGGTCCCTTGCATGTCTCCCTGGTGGGACTTTGGACGACTATCAGCCGAACTCCTCATTACCCCGTACTCCTGGGGTCGATTTACATGAGCGATTTTTCGTCGTTGTCTGGACCCAATGAGCCCAATATTGGGTGATGCTCCGGTCGATTCCGTCTAGTTTGCGGGAATTGGAAGTTTTTCCGAGTGCGCGTGACCGGTACAAACTACTACTACCTACTATCTATTGACTGCGAGATATACCCGAAAATGGAAAACGTACAAGAGACGATGGATATTCATGAGTGATTATATGCATTTGTGGATATTATAGATAGGTAAAATTCCAGGCGTCCTGCTATGCAATGCTTTTGCCGGCCATCGGGCCGATATTTTTAAGCGTGTCCCCCTTTTTTTTAGTCTCCGTCCCCGTCTCATATCCGTACGGTAGATGCGTAGCCCTACGGATACAAACGTCGAGGCCATCGATAGATGCTTCAGCGCGGGTTCTTCAGCAAGTGACCCTGCTAAGCATTGCCCCTTTCCGCAGACCCATGGCGTGCCATTGGCTCCCGGTCCGCGGCTTATCAACGGAGGCGGAGGCGGATGAGCGTAGTTCGTAACTTCTTTTTTTGGGGTGGAAGCCCCTTATTCATATCGTAACAACGTCAGGCATCTATTTTTAGTGTTGGGGATCAAGTCTGGTTCCCATGATGGATGATTGCTCCGATGTGTCGCGCTAGTGAGACTATGCGGCGGCCGCAACCTCCTCAGCAACCGGGGTGGCTTCGTCCCGGCTGGACGACCACTTGGGTCTCCGCTCTTGCGAGTTGTTCTCTCCACGGGCTCTCTGGACCCGGAGGACGGCGCCCCAGGGACCCTCTGCGCGGTTCAGCGCGTTCATGGCATTCTCAGCCTCCTCGACGCTGCTGAAGTCGACGAACAGGTAGTAGTGGTCACCGGGCTCGAATCTCTTCGCGGGGTGAGGAGCGAACAGCTTGCTGACATTCTCACTATACAGCCAATTAGCATCCCGGACAATCAATACACGCAGGGACCAATCCATACACTTTGTAATCCTTGAAGAAGTTGGTCATGTTGCTGGTGATCGCCTCCTGGTCCGTCAACCTTGGGAGGCCGCCAACATAGAGGCGACGACTGGGATCGCTGTTGGAGGGGGTACTGGCGGTGGTGGTGGTAGTGGTCTTCGACGGAGTGCGCGGGGGCTGAGCCTCGTCGCCGCGGCGCCACCGGTCCATGCTGAAGGGAGAAGAACGAGTCTCACGAGGGGAGGCATCCGAGCGCGGCTGTTGCTGTTGCTGCTGCTGAGCCCGCTCACTCTGGGTCTTCACGACACCAGGCTTGATCTTGACGGGACGACCAAGCATGTCCCGACCGTCCAACTCTGTCATGGCGCGCTCAGCCAGCTCCTTGGTTTCCAGATCGACGAAACAGTATGAGGGGTTGCGGCCGGTGAAAGGATCGATGGCGATATCGATACGCTCGCTATTAAGCACTCAGTTTGAAACTCCCACGGGTGTCTTCTGTTTAAAGAATCCATACATTCGGAACTCAGCCGCATCGAAGAGAGCCTGCACATCCTCCGACTTGGCCGTGTAGGGCATGTTGCCCACGTAGAGACGGCGGCCCTCCGAGATGGCCTGGGGCACATGCGGGCTGGGTCTGCTGAATGCAATTCTCGAGGTGCTGGTCTTGGGACCGGGGGACCCGGCAGCGGCGCTCTGGCCACTAGGGCTCTCATCGCGCTTCACACGCCAGTTGGGGGAGTGGAAGGCCCGGCCTGTGGTTCTAACCCCATTCTGGAAGACATTCTTTTGGGGAGCTAGGCACGCATTAGCGATTTAGGATATGGTCGTGAAAAATTGGATTCAGCCCGAAGCGAGCAGCCCAATGCGATCGCCTACACACTTTGTTCCTGGGGCCTCGGGCTCTCGGGAGCGTCGACCATTGTGACGGTAGAATGTGAAGTGAGGGGTGAAGGGTATAGTCTATGGATTCAAGGTTCATTAGTATGGATTGACACAGAATTTACTTATTTCCTAATCGGACAGACGATCATGGCAGTCAAAAGAGGTGATTCATACCGTGAACAGGACAAAAGAAGATTCACAGAAAGCCAATGATTGCCTTCCAGAAAATGTCCAAGGCAAGAGAAAATCCCCCGGACAACAAAAAAAGCGAATGCCAACACAAAAAAAACGTCGACGCTGTAGCCTGCGTCAGAAAATTGCCCTCTACATTTTTTTGATGCGAAATGCCGCCAAACAGCGCAAATGCCGCAAACAGAACAAACATCTGGAGATGGATTAATCTCTGTGCTGCCGATGATTGGCCTGTTAGCGAACCGGGGGAGATTTTCTTCATATAAAGCCGCCCTTTGTTTTTTCTCATTCCATCTTCACTCACTTCGACATCTATTTCGACAGACTCTGAATCAAATTCAGATGTCTACCTAATATGGTGACTGTCTAATGGACAGCAGCTTCAAAGCTACGGGATTAATGCATTCCGTTAATTGCTTTGCAGATCTGCACAATTGTCACCAATACATTTTCCTGCTCTTTGTTTATTGCTTTGTTGTTTACAGCGTTCCACACATACAAGTCATCCTTCAATGATGAAGCAAGATTTCACACAGACCTGTTCCGAGTTTACAAAACATGCGGATCCACGATCGTTCCAACTGCTGTCTGACGATGTGATGACTTGTATTCCCTTGCCCTTATTCAAGATAGATTTATCAAAGAATGGATTTTTACTCGTGAAATGATTCCACAATGTAGTCAATAAATAAAAATATGTCCTCATACAATTATAGAATACATCCTAACGCTATCGATATTTGCATAGCATACCCTACATGATAAGCCTACGGATACTCCACGGCGATAGAATACTCCGTATCTGCCCTGGCAATACTATATTGAAGTTAGGGGCAATTGGTACCGTCATTGCCTAGAGGCATTTGAACCAAGGTACATACCACTAGCCCTACTTATCGAATGGTTTGTTCTCAGATATTGAGCAGTCAACTAAAACCCCTTATACAGTACTTCAGTAGTAAAACACCGTGCCCGGCCTAAATCACTTAGAAGACAGCTTCAAGTATAAACAGTAAACTCATGGTATATATTTTCCACTCAAACTATAGAAACACCACCTCGTCTCGTCACTCGTATACATCATACTTATATTTACACTTTCCCATCACCATCCCATTCTGATATCCCAGTCCATCCAGGAATATCACCTCATTCCAACCGGAAAGACTACCTGCAACTCACCCCCTCAACCCCCAAACCGCACCCCCAATAACCCCAAACACCAATACATGCAAGAGAACCCCCAACCCAGACATCAGCAACAACACCCACCCCTGCAACTGATTCTTGACCACAACCTCCGAATACCTCTGATCACTAAAGCTCACCCTCGAATACAGCGTCTTCCACCCCAAAACGGGCACATACCGCTGCAACGCCTCCTCGACATACTTCCTCGCCTTATAAACCGGCGAATTCACCCCACCCCGCAACTCCAGATAATTCCTCCTGGAGAGGTCATGAATAGCATGAGCATCACGAACACGCTGATCCGAGTACTCCGTCAACGCCGCGGCGCGGGCATGATCCTTATTACTCGACAACTTGCCGTGACTGAACACGCGGTGCTCATCGAGTAAATCGAAGAGGATCCGAACGTCCTCCATCCCTGCGTTCAGTCCCTGGCCGTAGAACGGGAACATGGCGTGCGCGGCGTCGCCGATGATCACGGCTGCGGAGCCGTGATGGTGCGGGCTGCATTTTATGCCGATAAGGGGGAGGTGCGGGCTTTGGTAGAATTGCTGGGAGAGGGAGGATTGGGAGATTAGGTCCGGGCAGACGCCTGGGAAGTGGTTGTCGAAGAAGTCGAAGAGGGTGCTTGGAGGGGAGGATTTGAGAGAGTCGAGACAGGATGCTGGCGCGAAGAGAATGCAGTTGAAGGATTGGTCCGGGCAGGGGAAGGCGCAGAACATGTATTGCCCTCCGGGCCAGATGTGGAGGTAGTTGGGGGGCAAGCGGAAGGAGTTGGTCTTTTCGGTGGGTGGGATGCGTAGTTCGCACCATACTGTGTCGGCATATTGTTGTTGGTAGTCGAGCGGGGTGTGGCGCATTATTTGTTGTCTGGTGGTGGAGTGGGCGCCGTCGGCGCCGATGAGGAAGTCGAAGGGGACTTCTTTGGGTGGGGGTGGTGTTGTAGTAGTGGATGGTGAGGGTTCTTCTCGTTGCTCGAACCACACCTTGCGGGTTTTCATGTCTGCTCGGATGAGCTTGTGGTGGAAGAACATCTTCACGTTGGGGGTGGCGTCGAGCTCTTGACGGAGGGCGATGTTGAGGGCTTTGCGGTCTAGAGAGTATAGGGAGTTTCCGTGTACGTCGTACTGGTGGAAGGTCTGTTGGAGCTTGCCTGAGACGCTTCTTCCGTGGACCATTCTGCCGTGCATGGGGATGGCAGTCCGCATGATGGCGCGGAGGAGGTCAGTTCGACCGGACTTTTCGAGGGCTCTGATGCCCCGTTCGGAGAGAGTGAAGTTGATGGATTTCTGAAGCAGGGGAGAGGCGCCTGATGGGTTCAGCCGCTCGTCTAGAGGATGACTTGTTAGCTAGACGTATGAGTATGGGAGTTTCTTGTGAGAACATACCCCCACGCAGTTCGTATACTTCTACATTGTCATGGTAATGGCTGGCATAGAGGGCCGCCAGGGAGCCCACTGGCCCACCACCAACGATGACAATCTTTCCGTCTGCAGCCATTGTAGACATATTCATTGTTCTGGAGACTTAGATGATGTCTTTTGGTATATCCACGGAGGAGAAGAGGAGCCAGCTTATATAGCTGAGGCACGCCCAGGGATTACGCGATATAAACCATGAGAAGATTCGCGCAAAGTCTATACTGGCAATAGCTGTAGTACTTGTCTCATTTTCGACACTTTACCGTGATCAGGCAGGTAGTAGGGCCACGAGATCATCATGAAGAGCAACCATGTGGGCCACCTCTCAGCCGTACTTACATCTTGCTCCGAGTATTGCACGAGCCATACATAATAGGTAAAGAGTAGCACGTTGGAGCGGCACGTTCGTCGGTTGTATGCAGCTGTGACGACGATTCTGCATTGACGTAGGTGAGGAGCTGAACTCAATTCCAACCATCCAGGCATCAGACAAGGACATGAGAGAGAAGAACATAGTAGATACCGTAACAATACCAACTCTTGGATGCAAGTCATGGGTAGACATTAGTACATACTAGTACTAGTACTCCGTAGTCAGTATACTAGTACTAGTAGACAGTAATGCTCAAATCCCGAAGGACCGCAATATCCAACGACACCACATCCTTAGCTGATATTAATCTAACCTCGGGCAACAATGCAACGCAATTGCACACTAATCGTGTTAATCATGCAGAGGTGATGTGCTCAGCTGAAATGCACGTTGTCGTTGGCGCGACAGATCGAGCGCAAACGGAAACCCGATGATTGGATACCCTACGATGTAACCCCTCCTCCTTGCATACCGAGTTTAAACACCATTCAGCTCCAATTAGCCTTACAACCTGAGTATTAGAAATCACTAGTTACGGTCAGAGGACCAATTCCGCACCGTGGGACTTAAACTAAAAGTCTATTTACCTGCACGTTCAACCTGAACGAGCCCGACATTTATGATCTATCCCACCACCACCACCGAATCCAGTAAGTGTACATACTTTAATCCATATAACCATACCTACATCCTCTAACTTACTGCACGCCATGCAGCAAAAATCCTTCAGCCAACTCACCCAAATACCCACAACTGGCTATAGCTTAATCTCCGCAATCAATAAAAACCTGCACCTTGCGCCATAAAAAAACCATGTCAAACCCGCCAAGCAGAAGAACCAACACCATCAACAAATTCACCTTCACCCGCCCCGGCGACGTCGTTTACGAATTCCCCAAATACACCTCCGCTTCCTGCAAAGTCCGCATCACTCTACCTCCAGGCAGCACCTGGACCTCAGGCCCACATTGGCACGAGAAGCGCGTCGAATACTTCCGCGTCGTGCAAGGCGCCGCCTGGTTCACCCTAAACGGGGAATACAAAGTCTATCGGCCATCGGACGGCAACGTGCCGATTCCATTATTCACGGTCCATGAATGGGGTCGGGCTCCTGAGCAAGAGGAGGGGGATTTGATTGTGGATGAGTGGACGGCGCCGGCGGATTCGTTCAAGATTGCGTTTTTCCGTAACTTGAATAGTGTCATTCTGGATGAGACGAGTGATGGGAAGACACCGCCGAGAAGTGAGTGGTGGTTGACGCTGCAGCTGTGGGTGATTTGCCATGGGTTGGATAATTGGCCTGTGTTTTGTAGAGGGTTGTTTGGCGTGCAGTGGGTTGTTACGCATGTGTTTTTGGGTTTGGTTGCGTTGGTGGGTTCGGCGGTCTGGGGGTTGAGGGCTGCTTATGATGAGTATACGGCACAGGGAATTAAGGATGTTATTCGGGCTGCTAAGGAGGGGAAGAGGGTGAAGAGAAGAGCTGTTGATTGATTCATTGATTGCATGTTGTTTTGTGTATAGTGTTTGCCACGTCAGGGTTGGATGTGGGTTGAACGTTAGGCCGCCTGCATGAATGTGATACTATCGTTGCCAAGTATGCAGTTGCAGTAACTACACAGTTTGCATTAGTAAAGGGTCCAACGCAGTTTCATCCTGGAGTAGAAGTTAAGTCTCGATTGACTTAGCAGGTATAACTCGTGATGCTACCGTGATCGGTGAATAGCCACCACCGCGCTAGCCCACATCATCATTTGTTCAAAATCAACTAACTAGCTCGGGGTGTTGTCGGTTCTAGCCCTTCGGATATCCCACTAAGTATCGACGCCCGACTCAGCTACTCTAGCGGTAACTGACACTACGCAGTTGTTCTTCTTGGCAGACACTTGCCGCTACTCGATAGTCTGTGACGTGAAGCACCGTCTCGTATTCCCGAGGATATACCACCAATCTCCGCTCCTAACTACTAGCTAGTGTACAGCTACATCAGAATAAATTGGCAATTTTGACTGGTAAGAGAACTAGGTAGATAGGTGGGTACAAGTTCAGCCTGGCTTAGTATATTACCTGTAATTTTTATTTTTAACTAATAGTATTTTGTTCACATAATGGAATCATCTCAACAGTACTAGAATAGCTCATATTATATACACGCAACTAGACCAATCACAAAAACATACAAAACAGGAAACAAATTCCGATTCAAATCCCGATCATTCCTCCGTAGTCGAGCTGACTGACTGTATATGATGATGATGGACTCCCCACCAGCAAGCTGGAACCACACCTACTACTAGTAGCAACTACCAAAGACTTACTAACTACGCCCTTGAGAACGACGTAGAGAAGTCCATACTCCATTGTATATTATCAGGTTTCTATCTACTTACTATAAACACTCACCCTTATAAATACATATACCGAATCCATTCAGTCATGCATGATGCTTACAAGACCTCAGTCCGTGTTCCTTTAGTCACTAAGTAATTAAGTATGTACACTCATGCCAGCAAAGGGGGCATGAAAATATATACATACTAAGTACCATATGCCCAAGCTGCTTCGAGATCTTGTTCTTCAGTCTATTATCTGCTGCGAGAAGACACGGACATGGACAACTTTGCCACTTGCTACGCCCCGAAGAGGGGATTTCCGTGGTGGGGATATTTTTTTCGATACCGGGGATGAGCTGAGAAATGAATGAGGGGTTTTGGTGAGGGTAGTGGTGGCGGGAGAAAGATATTATTGCTTGTTTTCTTGTCACGCTGGGTTAGTGCGGGGTTGGTAGAAAGCACCGCAGACTAGAATCATGGCGGAATTGTAGAGATTTTCGACCGTCTAATTAAAAGTTATTTGACAAAGCAACTGCTCGGCAACTCTGCTACAAGCTAAGCAACATCATCATATCATATCCTCCATTTTGTAGACCTTCATACATATGACCATTGATCACGACACGAATTCCCCAAAAGATCAGCGAGATCGTCAGGCAGTGTTGTATCCGGCCTCGGTCATGGGAACCTCGTCGTCTCGCTCATACAGGATCTCCGGACGGATTTTCTGGCGTAGAATGTACCTTCGGAAAAAGTAAGGAATCTGGCGAAGTCCGTATGCAGCATGAAAGCGCGTTGGAACCGAAAACACTTGGTCTAATTCCTCCAGCGTCTTCCCCTTGGTTTCAGGCATGAACATCAGGATTAGCCACCATCCGACGATGCACCACCCCGCGTACCAGCTGAAAGCCCCCTGCGGGGTAAATGCCGCACGCAGGGAGGGCCAGGTGATGGCGAGCAGACAATTGAACAGCCATGTTGTCGCCGTCGCCAAGGCCATGCCGTGGGAACGGACGTAAAGTGGGTAGGCTTCGGCGGAATAGGTGAATGGTACTGGACCCTCCCCGACAGAATATACTATCGCGAATAGATACGTGCCTAACGCAATGCATCCAAGGCGGGCTGAAGAGTGTGTATCTTCCGGTATCCAGAAGCTAAAGCCGGTGAAGAACATAGACAGTGCCATTAGAGGAAATGTGGTGAGGAGAAGGTTGCGACGGCCAAACGTATCGATTGTGTATACAGCCGGTATAGCGAAAAGCCAGTTGATCATACCCCATCCAAAAGAGGCTGCCAGTGCTTTCCGCTGATTTGATACAGACAACTGCGTCAAAGAGTTTCCCGTAGTCCCGAGGAAGATCTCAGATGAATAGTAGGCAATGACATTGACACCTGCAGCAGAGTTAATATTTACATACAAGGGAAACTAGGTATCATACCGCAGAACTAATGCAATCAGTTAGCAGCGGCTTAGTTAGAAATTGCAGCAGTGGCTGACATACCTGTTGCATGAACATGACGAGCTCCGACGCAATCAACGCACGCCGGTTTCGGGGAACGGCGATAAGTTCGATGAGTTTGTTCTGCCCGAGTTTCATGCCTGTCTCTGCCTGCAGCAAAGTGTGCATGTAGTACAAGTCACGCGCAGCCTGGACCTTGTTGAAACGTAAACTGCACATGGACTCATAGGCCTTGTCATAGCGGTTGCGCGACATGTACCAACGAGGCGACTCGGGACACGTGAACACAAAGCAGCAGACGAGAAGGGCTGGAAACAAGGCCGAGGCCATCATCAAGCGCCAGTTGAGACCGACAATCCCTGCAGGGTCCTGTATCTCAAAGAAGGCCAGGTCGGCAACGTAGCCAAACATGATGCCAAACGCGGTCCACATCTGCCATTGCATGACCAAGGCACCACGAATGACCGGAGGGGCTGTTTCTGCGGCGTAGATCGGGACGGTGGCTGACTTGGGTCCAATGCCAAAGCCCAGGGCAAAGCGCGCAATGAACATGTGCCACCAGGTGTTGACGAACCCCTGCCAGAGACAGGTGATGGCCGAAAAACAGCAGGTAATGAAGATGGTGCCTCGTCGGCCGAACCAAGCATTGAATGGGACGGTTAACCAGCAGCCGATCAGAGCACAGCACATGTAGGGTGCGCAGTTTACGAGACCAAGCAGCCAGTTTGACCTCGATTCGCTGCCACGATCAATACCGAACTGATGCTTGTAGAAGATCTGGGCGCCATTGACGACAGTTTCATCTGCAGGTGCATGATCGTCTTAGCCTGAGTCGTGCCACATCAGGCGTGTTGAAGAAAAGGCTTGAACTTACCCATTCCCTGAACCGCAGCCGACAGGGAACACAAGCAAATGACCAGGTACATTGTCCATGGCTGGGACCAGCGATGAGCGTATTCATTCTCTAGAACTGCCAACTCCTGGGGCGTCAGGCCGGGCACCTCTGCATATCTTTCAGGGACCTGCGCCAACATGGCACCCATTGCAAAGGCACGCACATCCTCTTCGTCACCCATCTGGTGAGTGATGGCGAAGTTGATGCCCTGCTGGCGTAGCTCCTCCTGGGTGTATCCGGCCAGGGGATTGGCAAGCTTCGCGTTCATGTTCCGGCGCGCTCGCTCTGCGGCTGTTCCGAAGGAACGCTGGAGACGAATGTTTTCCCTGTGGTCAGACGCATATTCATCATTGGAGGCCTTATTTTCGAAGATAGGCTCCCCGATGACCGGACATTCCTCTTTTCCAAACATTTCCAGATATTGGGATCTGGTCGCGATGATGGCAGCTGATACTGTAGGGGGTGTAGAAACGAGAGACTGCGTGAAGATCGGCAAGAATTAGCAGGTGTCGATAATGCGAAGAGTTATTTGAATAGGGAGACATGGAGAAACAAGTTAGTGACCGAGACCGGAGACATCAACATGAATGGCCCATTGCACAAGGATGGATCCCAAACCTGGCTGGACCGTTGGCGCCACTCCGAGGTGCATCAACAAAGGATGCAAGCAACGACAAAGAAGTGTAGTGTGGGAAGAGCGGATGTGAACAGACGAGCCAAGCAGGTCTACCAGCGATAAACTAGATGATACAAAGAACTGTCCAACGCGTAGGATGTGATGCAGGGATACGGAAGAAAATGCGTGCAGAAGAGTGGAGACTTGGGATGCATCACCACTTGCACAACTGGAACATTTGTCGACTCACCGTTTCAGCCAACATCCCGGGGCAATGACATCGACAAGCCACTGAATCAGATTGATTGCTGAGGCTGGACGCGTCGGTGAGAGTGTACAGGAGAGAAAAGAGAGAAGGCTGAAGGAGTCTGACTAACGAGCGACAGGGACAGACACGATTCATTCACCGTGGACACATGCAAGACAAAGGAGGGAATGAGACTCATCCAGTCTCTGGGGTTGGCTGGTCCTTGAGGCTTAGAGACAGCCTTTGGTCGTGATCACAAACGTGGTTCCCTGTCATCAGGAGTGGCATTTTGAGCAATCAGTGGGCAAGAGTGAGGTTGTACAAGCCTCGTTTGCTGCAATGAGGCCACCCTCCATGTTGGATTGCGGTTTTGACAACCGCATGGCCATGCAACCCCAGATGCCAAATATAGTTTTCCTTTTTTTTCATCTGGACTGCATCCGTCAACACCGGGGCGATTTACAATTTCAGATCTAAATCTTGTGGATGTTCTGGGGAATCAAAATGACAGACAAAGCAAGGATGGAAAAGATTACCGAGACTCAATTCGCATCTTCAAATCCCCGGATCGCCGTCGCTTAGACGTTGACTTGGCGTGCGGGGTCGCTCTTACTCCACCGTCGGATCGCGCCAGGCCCGTCGGATGAAGCCAGACCACTGATGCTACTATCCTCATTCCAGGATAGATAGTGTTGGATCATCCGATGGTTCTGATGCCGCTTATCCGTTCGGATCTCCTTACAGCTGCATCTGTTGAGTGCCAGGAAACTTGGACGTCACAGTCTTACCCCGCATTCCGCAATGCCACCAGATTTCCTAAACCGACTACATCTGGACTATTATCCCAGCTATACCGACAATTACTAGTCAAAGGACATGCTGTAAAAGGCAAGGGGACATGGGTTCTATAGGCTGGTGATAATGCACATCTGCAAGTCTCTACAGTGACGACATCGACACTCTAGCCGACTGTAGGCCGCTCCACTGTCAATCCATAGCTCATCCGCATTAGTCGGATGCAGACACTCCTACTTAATATCGGAACAGCAGACGGATAGATAAATCCAGGTACTATCTATCCATCCCCACTCTCCATAGTCCATACTCCAACAGACTTTAATGTTATTTGACCGGAGAGTCCATGGGTCGGCAAAGGGTCGAGAGGGGGAACATACCCGCTTCCGACCCGCCTCTGCTACTCTCTATGATGGCATCACCCAGTTTATAAAGTAGCCCTTACTCCTCACTTCTTCTGCAGCAATTTGTACATTACCTTAGTCTATCTTGATTTCCTTTCTACTCACACATCACTACACCCAACATGCTCGGCAAAATTGCCCTCGAAGAAGCCTTCGCGCTTCCCCGCTTCGAAGAAAAGACGCGCTGGTGGGCCAGTCTCTTCTCCACCGACCCCGAAACCCACGTCAAGGAGATCACCGACATCAACAAGCTGCGCATCGAACATGCCGACAAATACGGTGTCGGGTACCAGATCCTCTCCTACACAGCCCCGGGTGTCCAAGACATCTGGGATCCCGTCGAAGCCCAAGCCCTAGCCGTGGAAATCAACGACTACATCGCAGAGCAGATCCGGGATAAACCCGATCGCTTTGGCGCATTTGCGTAAACTCCCCCATTTCCCCACATACTACCTTACCTCACTAACTCTAATTCTCCAACTGAAGGACCCTCTCCATGCACAACCCCCAAGAAGCCGCCTCTGAACTCCGCCGCTGCGTGCAAACCTACGGCTTCAAAGGCGCCCTCGTCAACGACACCCAACGCGCCGGCCCCGACGGCGACGACATGATCTTCTACGACAACGCCTCCTGGGACATCTTCTGGCAAACATGCACGGAACTTGACGTGCCTCTCTACCTGCACCCGCGCAACCCCACCGGCACCATCTACGAGAAGCTCTGGGCAGATCGGAAATGGCTCGTGGGTCCGCCGCTCAGCTTCGCGCAGGGCGTCAGTCTGCATGTGTTGGGGATGGTGACGAACGGGGTGTTTGATCGGCACCCTAACCTACAGCTCATTATGGGTCATCTGGGTGAACATGTACCTTTTGACATGTGGCGTATTAACCATTGGTTCGAGGATCGCAAGAAGTTGTTGGGATTGGCGGAGACGTGTAAGAAGACGATTCGGGAGTATTTTGCTCAGAATATCTGGATCACTACGTCAGGGCACTTTTCCACCACCACGTTGAACTTTTGTATGGCGGAGGTCGGGGTCGATCGGATTCTGTTCTCCATTGATTATCCGTTTGAGACGTTTGAGGATGCGTGTGTTTGGTTTGATGGGGCGGAGTTGAATCTTGTGGATAAGGTTAAGATTGGGAGGGATAATGCGGCGAGGTTGTTTAAGTTGGGAGCGTTTAGGGATTGTGATGCGAAGATTAAGAATTAGTTGTGAGTTTAGTATGTACGAAATGAGATGATATTTACTGTTTACTTTTGTGGGGCTTTTTTTTTTTTTTTTTTTTTTGGATTGGAGTTACTATGGTATTCGGCTGACGAGCTATGATGATGGTTTCGCTAGAATACATCTCAGATCTATCTAGCTTCTACTACATCGGATATGTAAGTATGTAAATGTGCTCTTCTTTCTGTCAGTCCACCTCCCAATTTTTGTTCACTTTTTTTTGTGTTGATGGTTCCTTGCTTTTGTTCTTTTTTTGTGTTTTCGCTTTTCATCCGTCACTTTGCTTTCGCTCTTCTCTCATTGGTATCTTGAAATCATTGCTTCTTGCATATGTATCAGAGCCGTAGAATGCATCAACCCTTCCTCACACCAATCCTCAATCAACCCATCTCATGACCTAACCAGTGTCAAATGAGATTCATCCAAACCTGAAAGTCACCTTCAAAACACCCAACCATCATCCGAATCCTCATCATCCTTAGAGCCAGACACAGCAGGCTGCGCAGCCTTAGCCAGCGCCTCATACGCAAAGTCCCGGACCTTAACCGTAGGATCCATCTCCGCAGTGAAAGGAACGTAATCTTTAACCCCCGCCACTGTCTTCGCTTCTTCCTCCTCCTTCTTCTTCTCCTCCTCGCGGCGTTTCTCCTCCTTCGCCTGCTCATACGCCACCTTCCTGGCCTCTGCCCGCTGAGCAGCCTGGCGCTGCCGCTCACGTTCACCCTCGATATGGTGCGCGAGCATGGCGCTCCTCCAGGCCTGAGGAGTCTCCTGCATCTCTCTGTAGTGAGGCTCCGTGTACCGCTCCTTGATGTCCACCGTGACTCTGATAATGGCATCATAGCTCTCTATGGCCCGGTTGATCAGATCCCAGACTGCGATCAAGGCGCGGGTCATTTCCACGCGCACGGGGTTCCAGTTCTCCTTCACGGGGAGCTGACGCTGGTAGTCGTTCATGAAGTCGGTGTAGATGTACGCGTCGAAGAAGTCCAGGAAGACGGTGAGAAGGTCACGTTCAGATGGGCGGGGCTTGTTGAGATGACTATAGAGGGGTAGGCGTTAGTTGAGTTTGCTTCTGCTTTGCTTTGCTTTGTGGTGTTGGGTGAGAGAATGGGATAGGGAGAGGACATACTTAAGGATCAGTTCGGTCATATTTCTGAACCGAGTCACCACATTGTACTGCGTATCTTCTGCGATCTGCTTGACCGAATACTCAACGCGGCGCGCCCAGGTGAGCTCCTGCTGCAAGATGTGATCCACAATGCTGATGCATTTTTTGAGTTCCTCCAAGTGGTGCATGACCTCTTCGATTTCGTCTTTGGTCAGTCCGAGGACTGGATCCACAGGAGTAGCGTGTCTGCGAAAGAGGAGGAGCTCAAGTCGAAGAACAGTGTTGCTCATATCAATGAAGCGTGTTTTGGTAGTTAGGCTCATGTGTTCGGAGCTGGTCATGGTCCGCATTTGCTCGAGGGTGCTCTTCTTGCGCTCCTCGGCAACAAGTGGAATCGAGTCAGAGCCAACTCCTGCGTGTTGGTTGTTCGAGACGCCGGTGTTCAACTGTGAGGCCAGGGTAGGGGGGCTTTCGATCTTAGGAGTCTCGGATACATTGGTCATTGTGCTCGCGTTGGTAATTTCCTCTTCACCCGCCATGGTGAAGGAAAGAGGCGCAGTTGCCAGAGAGTCAATCTGTCGGAAGCTAATAACTTCGTCGCAAACCTTGGAGATAGCTATTCTGTATGATTCTTCAATCTGCCTGTTCTGGCGGGCGTCACGGTTTTCACACGACCTGTAGTATTCGGGGAAGCGCTCCGTGTTAACGGGTAGAGGAAGTGGGAGACTAGAATTGGGGTTGTTTTGAGTAATGAAGGTCGGAGTGGGCTCTATGGGTTCCTCATTCACTGAGGGCCCGGGCTCCCCAATGCTCTCGCTTCTATTATCAGGTACGTTTGCCATGGTTGCCTCCATGGCAGCAATCTCGTTGTTGGTTTCGATAGGAGAGACCATTTCGTCTTCATCATGTGCCTGCTCGGGATACCCCTCAAGATATGCGATGTGGTGGCGGTAGAGCTCACGGATACAAGACTCTATGCTCGACTTGGTGGAGAGAGCGCCACTGTTTGTGAGTGCAGATGCCATGATAGACAGGTGGTCGCGTGTCCTAGAATTGTGAAAAAGTACACTGGGAGCTGGGAAGAGAACGCCGCAACAGGATATCACAACTGCTCAGATGTGTTCATGAACACCAGAGATCTTGAAGCAACAGTTTGCGTGAGAAAGAACCATGCACAACTGCTCTTGCAGAAGAAAGATCACACACAGTATCACAACGCCTTGAGTATCTTGAGAAAGACTGAATATGATGATATGGGATGAGAGTGACGACGAGAGAAGAACACTGGGAGATCATCTTCATGAGAACACTTATCCAAGCGGGCCTGATGATGGGATCTCGGCGACGACTAAGCAAGGAGATTCACTGTGTATACTGCTGCCAACGCCTTGAACTACTTACGAGTGCGGCTGTGATCACAGGAACAGCGGTTGTGGGCACAGGGACGGAAATTATCTTGATGTGACAATCTACTATAACGGCTATCTTTGACCGTTCGAGATAGTTGACCTGGGAAGTTGCAATCGCGGCATGATATTGAACCAATCCGCTATACATGTGGTTCATATCTATACGGAATATTTCCATCCTCTGGCAGAAGTAGGGCTATGAGCTTACCCAATGGTTGTGGCTTTTATTCACATGAAGAAGACTAGGACTCAACGCCATATTTTTGGAAAACCCATTTCTATACGGGATTTCTCAATTGGAATGAGAGCGACTCAGTGTCGTCCTGAGATACCACCCAGAATCGTCGCCAATTGCATTACTAAGTTGAAAGGCCGCAAAATAAATGCATGTCTCATGAATCAATAGTTGGGCGTTGTATAGTGGATCAACCACTGGCGGAACGGCCCTTCCCGTGGTTCGGCTCAAGCACTACTATCTATATGAGAATGGTGCTTGGGAATAAAGGCATGGGCAAAGGAACAAGAAAGTTTTCATTTAGAGATAAAATTGCATGAATGAGATTGCTATCGCCGATTAATCATTTTTTCGATTATTGGTCTTCGAATTGGAATTGACCTGCGGTGGGCAGATACCCCTGAAAAGATACGCGGATAGACTTAATTGGATATACTACGCATTGGTTTCTTGTAGAGTAATTGGGACACAGAAGCAGGGTTGGTGCGACCTCTGTAACTGAGCAAGTCTCAATTCATTTTGCCCATCGGCATGGCTTAACTCGAGAAACTAACAGCACTTAAGAATGACATTATATAAAGGCAAAAGGTGATAACATTCAGGGTATATGAAACTACATATCATGGGTGTACCGCATCTCAATCCATGACGCTTACTGAAAGAATCGAGCGTCTAGTTTAATCGAGATGCAGTTTGACCCTCCCTCCAGTCATGACTGCGGAAACTAAGCAGGTGAAAAGGAAAGAACAAAACGTCCTCGCCAGCCACACTACTTAAACAGACATGATCTGTGAGGTTAGCGAGGGTCTGCCTCGTTCTTCGCACAGTGACTGATTGGCACCTCATTGATAAGGAGTGTGACAACTCAAAGTAGTGCGTGGATATCGCCAGCGAATAGAGCACTTAAAAGAACAAAAACAAATTTGGATACGAAGGTTTATGACTGTAGATGACATACGTCGGACCAGGGTCAGTCTTCCTTCTTACTTTCCTCGGACTTTTCAGCAGAGGCTTTATCATCTTCATCCTCGTCGTCGGGCAACGGAACATCCATGACTCGCTCTCCGGCTTTTTCTAAAGCCCTGCAGCTCCATGTTCTTACACCTTTGTAGACGGCCTAGTATTCGCGGTCAGAAGTTGCTAGAAAAAGAGTAATCATCATGTAAACATACCCAAAGGAAACTACCAACACCGATGACGATGACCAACCACGCGACCCGGTTGCGGCCAGAATTCCTTCCGCCACCAAACATCCCTGTGCCGCGCAGTGTCAATCCATGCCATGAAGAAAGCGCAAACACTGCCTTGATGAAAGACAGAAAGCCCAAAGAGGCTATCCCCTTGATGAAGTGCTCAGTCCAGGAAGCCTCTTCATTGTCAGGTAAGATACTCGACACAGGGCGCGCATCCCAGTAGTCCGAGCGGATAATGGGGTCCATAGGGTCCACGTATAGATTAATGATCGGGTCAGCAATAAAACCAAGTAAAAATACAGTCAACATTAGAATAATTAAAGTAAGTCCAAGCTGCGTCAATGGGCTACTGATCCAGTGTGCCCACCGGAGGCGCTCTAAGCGATAGTGGAAGCCACAAGTCGGACAGTGCCAGTAATTCCTCTTGCCATAGCCTGGGTCCGCATGTCGCCAGAGTTGTAGACATCCCTCATGCACATAACGCGAGGATCCTTTGCATTTGCAAGGGCGAAGCAACCGACCCGACTCCGGGTCTGAGGACTGGTATGTCACGCGTTGCTTGGACTGAAGAAACCCAGGCAGGTGTTCGGATGGAGGAGGGAAGGTAGGGTAGACGGTCTCCAGACAGATGCGACATGTACGGGGAGGGTAATGCTTTTCGGAAGTCTCGCCTGAAGATTGCGAGGGTTCATCAGGTCCAGCAACATCTTCTGGACTCTGCCTTACATCAAAGTCAGGGTCCGAAGCTGAGACGGAGGCAGAGCTCGAAGGCCACTGCCAGAGCGGCTCATTGCGCAGGTCCATTCTGCCTTTGCCTGAACAGTCTCAGAGCTAATGGCATAATATGATTCTCAGACCTACCAGCGATCTGAGAACCTCTAGCAGCAATTGGGAGGCGTCTGTGTCGAGGGATGCGCGAGGACGAGGAGAAAAAAGATGGAAAAGTGGGTGAGGGAAAAAGAGGCCAGCTTAAAAAGGCGATGTGGAGAAGAAGTCGTGCCGTAACCGCACTAGCCGCTCGCCTACCGTCACCGCCCGAGGCGCGGCTTGGCGCCGAACCAGCCGGCGGTGCTGCTGCTGCTGCGTCAACATCCTGCCGCCTGCTGTCCTTGAGGGTAGCTCCATTCTTGATCCCCCACGACCTCATCCCATCTCCGTTCACCTTTCATCCATCACATTTGCACACTCTCATACCCACCGGAGCTTGTAATTGTGGAAAAACGCACTCATGGCTGATCGCTACTCCTTTTCTCTGACCACGTTCTCCCCCAGGTAAGAGAAGCTCACTGCTCGATAGCTATGGTCCTTGCTAACATTGCTCAGCGGAAAGCTGGTTCAGATTGGTAATTAATTACTTCTACCTACTGTTAGCTGTTTAAACAAGTGTGCTGACTAGTTCTAGAATATGCCTTGAACGCTGTCAACCAGGGTGTAACTGCTCTGGGCATCAAAGGTATGACATAGCTCTGATCCACCCGGCCTAGCTTCGAATAGCTACTGATGACCACCGCTACTCAACAGCTACCAACGGAATTGTTCTGGCAACCGAAAAGAAAGCCAACTCGCCTCTCATTGACCCCCCTTCCCTCTCCAAGATCTCCCTGATTACACCCGACATCGGCATGGTCTACGCTGGAATGGGCCCAGATTACCGTGTGCTCGTGGACCGGGCCCGCAAGGTTTCTCACACTGGCTACAAGCGCATCTATAACGAATACCCCCCTACCCGGATATTAGTGCAGGACGTTGCCCGTGTTGTTCAAGAAGCGACCCAGTCTGGTGGTGTCCGACCGTACGGTGTCAGCTTGTTGATTGCTGGCTGGGACGAGGGCGTTGAGCCTGAATCAGGAGAGGCTCAGCAGGGTGATGGTGAGGACGAGCCTAAGAAAGCAACCGGCAAGACGGGTGGTATCTTAAAGGGCGGGCCCAGTCTGTACCAGGTCGACCCCAGTGGCAGTTACTATCCGTGGAAGGCCACGGCCATTGGAAGACATGCGACGAGCGCAAAGACATTCCTTGAGAAACGTTACACCGAGGGTCTCGAGCTGGAAGATGCCATTCACATTGCTCTCCTGACTTTGAAGGAGACTATTGAGGGAGAGATGAACGGTGATACGATAGAAATTGGTGAGTTTCACATCTGGCAAATTCTATTGCTATCATGCTGACGATAACAGGCATTGTTGGTCCTCCTGCCGATCATCTGCTTGGTTATGAGGGTGTTGAAGGATCGCGCGGACCCCGTTTCAGGAAGCTGAGTAAGGAGGAGATTGAGGACTATCTCACCAACCTATGAACTACCCCATAGATCGATACAGATCTTGACATATGAGCCTTGTAGTATAATAGACACGACTCAAGTCTTGCGAGGTTCCCGCGATATGACAGGGCGTCCCGGCCACGCAGAAACCGGGGAGCTGAATGGTGGGTTTTCAGGAGTGACCCTGGAACCTGACGAAATATTGGGCGGTTCTAGACTCGCCAGTAATACTTCAAAAACCTGATCGGAAATGAATGCTATTGTCAATGAAATTGCACGACTGCACCTGTCTTCCTAAACCCAGTAATTGGGCTGCTAGGCTTTAAGCCTGCAGGCCACAGCATCTGCAGGATGGACTGGACCCATAGAGCCCCCATTGTAACGTCGTAGCCAGTCCGTCCTTTTTATTTCCTGCAAAATGGCAATGGCCAATCTAGCTCGGGGCAAAACCTGGGCGTTTACACAGAAGCAATTCCGGCGTTGGACCTTTTGATTGTCAGTGGGCGGGTCACTGCAGCAGTCACACGTCCATCAGCGCCAGCCATCTTGACTAGTGATCGCCGACGCCATTCCTTCCACCAATTTCTCCGCAGCAAAAGCAATGACTAAGACCAGCAAGCCTAAGCGGGGACTCAACAATGGCGATTTTACCTGTCATCCAGCTCGCCGATCGGACAAGACTTCCTCAAAACATCGTCCGCTCGTCCCTGAGTTGACATTCTAACCATCGTCCACCCTCGCCGTGGCCCAAGCTTGATCTGCCCCCAAACCCCAAGCCCCTCCACCACTGGCAACTAGCTTCGCATCCTTCCACTTCCCCAGATCTGACGGCGCTAGGACATTAGATGAAACTCTGTCAGAGGTGGCCCGGACTTTATCGACTACTCTGGATAGTTGTACCACGTCAGGACCCTGGATGCGGTGTGTTGTGCAGACTCCAATTCGATAACCTTCCCTCCTTGGGATATCGATTGATGCCTGACGCTACCGTGAGCTTGATTGATGGTTGCGACTCGTTTGTTCCAAGGCTGAGAACATGTGGATGGTACTCTGACCACAAGAATCGGCATTGATGGCGCGGGTACTCAGAGACGGCGAACTGCCTACGACGACTTCATTCAATTAGTTGAGAGCTGAGCGTGTGAATCTCAATCTGCAATCTGCTCAGGTGGCCATTGGCGTTGTGGTCTTCACTTCCGTTGGCTTTTTAATATAGCCTGTGACGCTGGCGCTATCGATACCCGGCTCGTGCATACGGAATGCCAATTCTGTGTTTCCCTGACTTCGCATTTATCGACTACTATGTCCGTATCATCTACGAAAGACCCGCTGGATGGCATCAGCGGCGAGCTCGCAAGCAGTGGTGGTGCCTTCAAAGCCACATTGCTATTCTTCATGGCCATTGCCTGCTACAATGTGGCTGAGCTAGTCGTCATGGTCCTGTCGACCTTCCGACGATGGAAGGGCCTATACTTTTGGAGCCTGCTGTTATCGGGCTGCGCAGGCGTGTTACCATACACATTGGGCTTTATCATGAAGTTCTTCACGCAAGCCCCTTCGAACCTCTCTGTCACTATACTTAGTATCGGCTGGTGGGTCATGGTCACGGGCCAGGCGGTCGTCCTGTACTCACGACTCCACCTCGTCATTTGCGACGAGCGCATCCTACAGCGCGTGCTGTACATGATTATTGCGAATGTATTCCTCCTACATGTACCCACGACAGTCCTGACATACGGATCCAATGCTGTCGGTGATGAACAGCCGGCCTGGGTAATTGGATACAATATCATGGAGAAGGTTCAGATGACCGGCTTTACCATCCAGGAGATCGTTCTGTCTGGACTATACATGTGGGAGACTTTGTTAATGCTGCGGATATGTCTTGTCCGTGAGAACCAAAAAATCATGTATCAGTTGATTTGGATTAACGTCGCCATGCTGGTTATGGACCTCATATTACTGGGTCTTGAGTATGCCAGCTTCTATGCTGTGCAGATCACGCTTAAAGGAGCGATATACAGTATCAAACTGAAGCTCGAATTTGCTGTTTTGGGCCGGCTCGTTGCTGTGGTACAGAATCGCCGGCCCATATCGATCGACCGGGACATCAATCTCTATTCTTTGGACCGAGAAACGACCAGCGCTCCAGATCGGAGCCTAGCATCTGCTGGAGAAAGTGTATCCAGCCGCACACCGTTTTGTGTTCCAGGCACAGGGTACGCGAATGGGACGCATAGAAACATCAACATTGATACCGGAAAACTCGTGACAATGAGAGAGCTTTCAGCTTGGGTTCAGCGGCCAAATGACGATCACTGCTGACGCACAACTCGCATTCTTGGCGATGATGTATCGACTAGCTCATTCATAGAATTGGTGCGGGTGCAATAAAGCGGGTCAGTAACCTGTGCACTGCGCCCTATTCAAAACAATGGGTATATATAGAACTCAGGCAGATAATACTTTGATCCTCTGCTCACAAACCACGTCACCTTTGACCTACTCAAATACCCCTTCCGAATCTTCCTCATCCTGGCTGTCCGCAATCTCCTCTGCCTTTCGCTTCCGCTGGCTTGCAGTATCGGGAGCTGAGTCGGAGTGGACATCTTGTGCCTGCTCTTTCTGTGCTTGAATCTCCTGGGTCTGTATCTTCTGTATGTGCTCTTGTGTGTGCCCTTCGTGCACAGGCTCTTCATGCGCCAATGCTTCAATTACGGGCTCTTCTGGTGCAGGTTGATTTGGCGCAGACTCCTCTTGTGCAGACTCTTCTGATGCGGGCTCTTCTGGTGCAGGGTCTTCGGGTGCAACCTCCTCTTGTGCGGAATCGTCCTGTGCTTGGTAATCTTCAAGCTCTGGCTCTTCCTCCTCCACGGGTTCCTCTTCCATTGGTTCTTCCGGTTCAAGCGCATCTTCATCCTGTGCTTGCTTCTCCCTGACTTGTGCGGCGACGCCATCCTCTTCATTACCTTCGAGCCCCATTGCAACAGCATACAATCCATCCTAGTCGACAAGTCAACACACCTACAGCCAAGCAAAGAATCAACAGAGGAAATCGAAGACGAACTCACATTCGCGACCCGAAAAGGCACTACGGTTGTTTTGTCCCTAACAGTGACAAGCCTCCCATCCCTCTTCATAACCTCCGCAACCCTCACCCATCCGCCATCCCCACCATCCCCAAAATCACCATAAACCCCGATCCGAGCGCGAACGCACGATTCCCACCCTCTTCCACTCAATATGGGAGACAGCGTTGCCCTCACCTGTCCCCGAATTCGGGTATGCGTTTGGTTATTAACCAGGATAGCCAGGTTTGCCCTGCTTGCGAACTTCACCAACTGAGCAGCAAGATCGCTGATCACGTTCCACTTTCGCGTTGTGAGCCATTTCTGGACATCCCTCTGCGCTTGCTGGGGTTGGTTGATATCACTAGGGTTAGGGAAATAAGGAGTGAAAGGGGCAGAGACAGAGTCTATAACAAGGAGAGTTGTGTTTGGGGGTGGAAAAGAGGCAGGTGGATGATGGAAGAGAGAGAGGAGATGAGGAAGCGTGGGGGCACGAATATACGTTAGATTCTCCGTCAAGGACCGGGGAGATGACGGCGACGTGGGAGACTGCGACTCCAGCAGTTTGCGCAGTCGAGGCCTAGGAAGCGGCGATGCCGTATCTTCAACCACCCCAAAGAACAACCGTTAACTCATATCAAACACAAGCAATAGATCAACATACCTATCCAAACAACCCCTTCCCCCCTCCCCAGCGCACCAGCAGTAGCATTTAAGCTGATCGCCGTTCATCAGCACACATATTACAAACCAACTCACCCACTCCACTCAAACCACTAATAGATAGACAAATAAAGAAATAAAACTCACCCCAACATCGTCTTCCCCGCCCCCGGCGGCCCAAACACCTCCGTAACATGACCAACCGGCAACCCCTTGAGCTGTTCTCCTTTTCCCTCAGTAAACTCACGTATTCGCTCATTTGTTGTCGTCGATATCACCGGGGCAGAGATCGCCTCATCCAACGCGACCAGCCCAGTCGGGATGGCCTTTCTGCCTGAGGCAGCATCCGGGAACGCGGTGGACGCGTGCAGGGACTGCGAGGCCGGGAAGGAGATTACGCGGTCTGGTGAGTATTTAGTTTTAGTTCTTCATGAGATTACATGCGTTAGATGGTATACGTACGAGGATCTTGAGTAGATAAAGGAGGAAGGTCTAGGTGGTTCATTTTTGGTGTTGTGTTGGAGTGAGTTGGTGGATAGGTTCACGCGTCACGCACGCGTTTTGGTGGTAATTGATGTGTGTCTATTGTTGGGGATGAGGGTGGGTGGGGGTTCATGGTCGGGGCATTGTTATTTTTTCGTCGAAGAGATGGAAGTAGAGTGCAAATAGATAAAGAGAAGCAATAGAATTGGCAGACTGTTTCTTAGTCTGACTGGGTATGCTGGAGTTGAGGTTGGATTTAAAGTGGTGGTTGATGCATCCATCCATTGACAGTGAGTGGTGTTCCGCTCTTCCTTCCCGGTGGTTCATTTTATCTTGATTATCTAGGCTTTCGGCATCGTATTGGATTTTACTTCATTTGTATGATCACAATGACCAACAAGGACTAAGGAGGAGCTTATTGACTAGATATTCTATATGTATAGTAGTAGTAGGAATAGTGTTTGTGATCTTCCCAGTAACTCTTCAGACTTAATCCTTATCGCGGTTTGCGTATGTCTACTCTAATATTATATGCGAAAAGCATTAGCATTCACAACATGTCGCACAGTACATCATAGGGGCTACAGTAATTCAAAGTTATTTGAATAAACATTCAGAATTCAAGTTGGCTTATGAACATGTCCATAAAATTGCTTCATCAAACGATGACGCAATCGGGTCATGCCTCGTCATACAGGTGTCGAGATTCCCCAACCTATTTGGAATCTCCACCACGCAAATGATGACTTCTGTGAAGGGTTACCGGAAAATTCCAAATAACTTAATACTTCTAACAGTTCAAGGAAGATTCCGGAGCCATGGAAAGTCTCACTTTTCAAGGGAATACCCTGTTGTACGCAGGAAACTTCCCCCGTGGAACTGGTAGCCCAAGGCCCACCCACTCATATATAAACAGCCACGGCCCTGCTACTCATCCAGTCTTCCTTTCATCATCAACAAACACAGTCTGATCAAAGTGTCTAATATATAAACCATCACCAAGCTACAGAGGGGGCGTTCGCCCCCTCAACACTATAAACAACCTATATAATACACAATTCATTACCATGATTTCGCGACAAGAAGAATAGCGAAAAAGAAAGCGGCCCATTCCCATATCATTGGCACTGTGGCTTCGTGGACAAAGTCCAAAAGTCATGGTGATCCGCAATGACTCTTGGCTCTGTTCTGTCCAATTCAAGGTTCTTCGGCTTGAGCTCAATTACTGTGCCAGGCGTGTCCCTGCATCAGTCGTCTCGATGCCGTCTCATCAATGGAATATTTTCCACCATTTGAACCGAAGATGACTGAAGAGAGACATACAGGTGCCTGTGACCAGAGAACTGACCTTCGATGGACATATGGGTCTGTGCTGGGTGGAGAGGCGGAGTTGCGGCACATCGCGCTGTTCTTCAACGTTTCCCTTTGGGGTTGTTGATATATAAAGCTATCAATGAGTTGATGAATGATAGCGAGATGACCGATGATGGGGTGCCCTGGCCCGGTTTGGTCTGGACATTGATCGCATACACATCCCTGATAGCCATCAACCCATTCTTTCCCAGAGGTCACGTACGCGGTATCTAAGTGTTGCTTCGATAGATATAAAGCTATCTTGGACATGAGTGCCTGTGGCAACTAGTACCGAAGAAGGTACGAATTCTTGTGGGTGCTATTTGCCGTAAACTGACACGCCATGGAGTCTCCAGAGTGGAATACGGATATATAGAACTTTACCAGGTTAAAAGAGGCAGACAGAGAATAAGAGGGCGGAGCTATTTGACTGCTTTGTCGATAACCGGGGCCTCAATCTTGCATGGCAAGAAATGCCTAACGAACCGACCCATCTACAACCGTCGTGGTTAGCCGGAGAAATGTCATGGGTAGAGAACATGACGCCTCTATACAAGAGCTAGGAGTATGAAGGAAGAACCACAGAATAAATATCGAAGAGGAACTACTAGTGATTGCGGTGGGAAGCTCCAGGGCAGTGTGAAACTCGGCGAGTTCAGTCGTTGAGAAGCTCCCTGAGATACCTTTCCCAGACCCCATGACTGAAAGAAAACATGCTACAAATGTCTCTCCTACAACAAGCTGTTATTTTGCTACTACCCAGCTTATCCACTACCTCCTCAAGCATCGCTTTTTAATGACTTCTTTCAACCATGCTCGTCACGCAAGACGTCCGAGCCATGCTTGAGTACTTCCACACGATTCCCCGACCTTGAGGGAAAGCCCCTGCAACATCACGAGATGCTTTTCTTCTCGAAAATTGCTTTTGTTCTCGCGAGAGTACAAGCTCATCCCAGAATACTCCATCCCGTCAGCAATACAGTCCAGCTACCCCTTTTCGAATATCATTTTCAAGGTGCAGACAGGACATCAGAGCGATGCCTTTTAAGGAGCGGGTGGATCGTGATATCTTTTCTTTCCATACCACAGCTGACGCTGTATCGACATGCGATTTGCACCACCATTCGCCTCGCTACAATATGATGCTCTCAAAGATTGGGTGTGGGTGTGCTTCTGCACATGCGATGGCCTGTTCTGAAGAACGTCAGCATAGAGATTAAACATAAGATAAGAAGGCAGGGAGACGGACTATTGTGATGGCAGATGCGGGTTTCTTGAATCCTGTGACTCCCGCATCCTTTGTTGCCCTAACCTTCAGATCACTTGTGCAATGTGCGCCGTTCTGGTATCAGGGAATAGCCCTCGAGAGCTTATATACTGAGTCGCTGTTATTCAGACACCATCCTCTCCGGTTGGTTTGCTGCAGTCAGTTGCTATCTGATATCAAGAGCTGGAGAACAAGTGATTTAAGGAGAATACCCACTCTCGACTAATGGGAGTATTGAGCATTATGAGTATAACAATCTTCCCTGAAGTCCGGGCAGTTTTACATCAAGCGGGAGGCTAGTGGCTGGTACATCTTAGGCTGCGTCGCCTGGCTGGCTTATCTCGACACTATTGAGCAGGTGGTCTCGAGCAATCGATGATATTGACAATGTCTGGCAGGAATGTACTGCCTTAGCATCGTATGTTGCGATGCTTAGCCGAGTTTATAAGAGCCTATCGATCAGACGAGCAAGAGTCGTTACTAAGATTGACCCCCAGAGCTGATCTTCGTCGAATACACAACAGCGAATGTCCATGATTTGGGGCTGGCTCTTCGGAATAAACAGCATTGACAAAGTGGCAAGCCATCCAATGAACTCGACAGGCCTCCTCCGGACCGTGGTCCTACTGAAGATGAGGAGTACGCAGAGGAGATGTTTACTCGCACCTTGGTCCCATGTTTCACCCATCAGCGGTACAGAATCGTTTCACTTTGACATTCCCCACCCGGGAGCCTGAGGCTAGTGAGCACGGCAGACTATTGTCAAGTCTGGACATGTTGCCAGTTAAAGGCTTTCATATGTATGTAAAGACACCTTGAATGGTGCGGGGAAACATTACTGGGACAGAATAGGGTCTGCTTGCTGATCCAGGGATTACGACCTACCAAGACACAAAGACTGTCAGGAAAGGAGAAGATCATGGGTCGAGTTACTCTGGTTGATTCAGATCAGGATATCTGTTCCATGACCTTGGCAAACCTTGCCCTGTTTGGCGTTTTTGATGATGCTAAACTCCATTTACTCGTGACTAATAGAAGTATGGTTGAGGAGAAGTGTCAAACCATTGTGCAGGGGCTCGAGATACGGTGTCGGTATAGACTAGTTGGCGTCCATACCAGAGACGGTTACGAATCATAAGTCTCAATTGACACTATTACCTTTCCCTGCCATCCATCAATCCGTTTTGTTCCTCCATACGAGCAGGGCACACGGAAATGAGATGGCCAATTATTCTTTGTTTCGAGTGATAATATGCCCCATTCGAATATTTCGCTCTCAGACTCGGATTCCGAGCCTGAGGTTCCTAGACCCCTGAACACGCTCCATATCATGATCCGAGAGATGTTGTATAAGGTGCGAGAAAACGGGTCCACCATCTCGGCCCTAGAAGCATGGGTTGAGACTGTGGACCCAGAAGCATACAGAAAGGATCCATGGCCTCAGGACCTTATAGACGCCCATGCCCACTACAAGGCGTTAGTCGCGGAGATTAACTCGAAGAGGATGGCTTACAACAATTCTGTTCATTACAGCCTAAAAGAGAAGCTGCGCTACACACTAAAAGTCCAACTAGAACGCCTGACGCAAGAAGAAGTGTCTAATTACAGCCGAAGAGATACCTCGACATTGGGCATCAATATCAATATCAACATCAACATCATCTTGTTGATCCTGGTGATCCATGTCTTCTGGGTCTGGCGTCATAGTACAATCTTTTTCAATACTCTCTCTGGACATCATGAAAGAACAAGACGCACGATCGGGAAATATATCATGTCCGGAAGAATTTCGAGTTCTACTACCATACACAAAAGCTTTCGGACGAACCGAACCTGCTACTCTCTACAACCGGACAGCCCAAAAATGACCCTCCTTGGATAGAATAAAGCTACAACTTCTCGAAGCGGGAATCATCATTGACAAGATCAAGCAGACAAAAATAATGAACAAGCCAGACTCAACGTCCAGACCTACGGCAGCAGGCAAGAAGACGCAAAAACTTTCGAAGCACCATTTGTCAATTCGGAGGCGGTTGGCCCTCTGTTGCTTCCAACTTCATGAAAGTTACTAACTTCCACTCTTTCCGATCTGAAGCTCTCCTTGAGGTCTCTTGTACACTTATCGCAAACCCCCGAGAAGGCTGCAAAGCCGTGTCCCGCGCGTCATGGACCAATTTCCCATTCCTTGGGCCCGTGCCTACAAACCCAGCTGTGGTTCTACATCCGCTGCTTACCGGTGACGGTCAAAGAGCTCATGCATATCCAGAAGGTGCTGTGGAAATATATCTGGGACCCGCGGCCCGGCGGCCCAATTGCGAATGTTCAGGCGATGAGGCCATTTGCAGAAGGGGGACTGGGTGTGATCGACTTCAAGACGATGCAGAAGGCGGAGTCAGGCGTATCTGCAGAGCGGCTGTGGAAAGGGCTGTATCACCGCAAAATTGACTACCCTAAGCTGACAGACCTCTACTGGAAGCTTTTGTTGAATAAAGTAACAACCGGGGAGCGAGAACTCCCATGATTGGAGATTCCTTGCCTCATCTCCCGCTTGCCTCCCTCTGTCAATCGATATTCAACCACAAAGCAATTCTCTTGTCTTCGATAAACGAATAATGACGAAGAAAAAGAGAGAATACTACCCTCTAAGCGAGCAGTGATGCTTTGATGGCCTCAAGTACAAAATGTCTACATTATAACCCCGTCGCAGAAAAAGACACTTTACAACCATTCACTTGTCTTCGATATATATTCTATGATGAAGGAGGAACTTACCACTACCACCGTCTGAACAGCGCCAATACCATGGCAACACCAAGCTCATAACGTCGTTACAGAACAAGCTTACTGCCGAGAAAGGGGTGGCTCGTTCGTCTGTATATACAAAGCATACAAAGAAGACAGCGATCATATGAACGAACTGATCCGCGTGCAGCATACCATCTAGCAAGCAATGCAGAGTCTGTACAATTCAGCGAAAAGGAAAGCAACGTCGCCAATGCATCGCTCGAATCCGCTTCTGAATATACCAGTTTGAGAAGATCAAGATGGATATGAAGGTGGTGCTCTGGTTGATATCACATGATGATATAAGTGTTTCTCTTCTCGGCGTGATGTGGCTCGGTTCGACTTTCGAGAAACATACATGATGGGTTGAGAACAATTAAGCTGTCGCCAAACTCCCCATTCTGTCTTACAAAGGTACTATGCAATTCGGGAATGATAAGAAGACCCTTCAATATGGCGTATCGCTATCATCGTCTGCTCCATACTTGACTGCGAGTGTTACCAATCACGGCTTCTCTGACGCCCTGCCCGTCCGCCCTGGTTGGTGTCTGTATTTGTTGCATACCGACAACAAAACAAGGCTTTGTATGGAGAATTCTTGAAACATCCATTCCCGAACTCATGTACAGTTGATATAAGCTGCACAGAAGAAGGAATCTTTGAGATCTGAACGGATTGTTGCGGTGGTGGTTGGTTACTTGTCTTGTTGATGGCGGTCATAGTATAATAGTGCTGCTGTTGCGAGGGAATTGATTTGGAATTGGAGTGTATTATAGAATGGGAACATAGAGATATAGATATGTGGATTGTCGGTGTTTTGTGTGCTTGGAAGTTAGGAAGTGGGTGTCTTGGTGGTTGGTTGGTGGAAGATTACCTGCCGATGATTGGCTTGGGGCGGAAATACATCGGACTTAAAGTACTACTTCGTTGTGCAGTGGCTTTGCTGCAGTATGAAAAGGATATTTATTCACTCGATGGTGTCCGATTGGTTTGAAAATCATATGTATATATTCAGATTTCTCATTCGAAATAGCCAATGACTATCTCCAACATTATCATCTACAGCAGTTGTTTTATCCAGCCCTTTACTATTATCCAAGTCAGCCGGTTTCATCATCCTCCCAAGTCTAAGCCAATCCCATATCCTTGTAGAAGGCGTCAGTCTTGGGCTCACGGCCCAAGAACTCCGTCAATGTCGTCATCTCATCCTGGCTACCTCCCTTCTCAAGCACCTTGTACCGGTAGCGACGGCCAGCAGTCGGGTTCATGGGGTCGTCCTTGAAGACGGTGTAGAACATGTCGGTCGAGTAGACTTGGGAGCTGTTTTGGGTGTCAGTACTTGGCAGATAATGGTGACGCCGAATACGGGATAGACATACCTCAGGTAACCATAATAACCAGCATCATAGCCACCGATCAAGTGACCAAAGGTGGCTTCGCCGTGCCCCCATTCCTCGCCCAGGCCAAGGCTCTCCGGGCCCTCCATCTGTGTGATCTGCTTGCGCAGGGAGTTGTATGTAGCCGAGATAGGAAGCTCCTTGATCTTCTCATGGCTCTCGGGCTGGTGGACGGTCATGTCGAAGATACCAAAGTGCAGCTGGCGAAGGTTGAACAGGGCATCGTTGACGTGCTTGGTGCGGATGAGGTTCTCGATAACGGAGTCAGGGATCTGCTCCGAGGGGGCTTCCTGGCTACCGGCTTGCTCCTTCCAGGCGGCGAGGTAGTCAGGAGAGAGAGTGGAGTAGTGTTTGCTGAGGGACTTGAGCTGGGATGGGGTCCAGCACCAGTTCTCGAGCATCTGACTGGGTGCTTCGACGAAGTCCCGGACGGTGTTGGTGCCGTGGAAACGGGAGTAGATCGTCTTGGCGACGAGGTCGTGGATGCCATGGCCGAGTTCGTGGAAGAGAGTCACGACTTCGTCGTGCTTGAGCAAGCTGGGCTTCTTGGGAGTCGGCTTGGTGAAGTTGCACACCAGTGCAGTGGCCGGGTAGCGGCGGTTGCCCTCCGCGTCGATGAAACCCTATAGATGTTAGTAAATGTTGTTATTTTGCGCTGTGTAGAGTGCCTACCGGCTGCAAGTTGAAGTTGGCAGCGTGACCGTACTTGCCGGTCCGGGGGAAGAGATCCAAGTACAGATAGCCGACGAAGCCGCTGCCCTCACCCTCATCGTTCCAGACGCTGAAGATCTGGACGTCCTCGTGCCAGACAATGTCGCTGCCCTTACCGGTGGGGGCCACCTTCTCCCGGTCCTCACCAGTGATCTCCACAAAGACGAGACCGAAAAGCTCTTCGAAGATCTTCAGCATGCCCTCAATGGTGGTCTGGAGAGGGAAGTACTCGGCAATGAGCTGCTGGTCCAAGGAGTAGTCCTTCTCCAGCATAAGACGGTCGTAGAATCTGTGGTCCCACAGGTAGTAGTGGCCATCGAACTTCTCTCCACGGGACTCCAAGTCGGACTTCTTGAATTCGAGCAGGCTCTTGATCTCCTTCTGTCCACCGGCCGTCAAACGAGACCGCAGGTCACCCAGGAAGGTGTTGACCGTCTCCGGGGTCTTGGCCATCTTGTCCTCAATGCGGAATGCCGCGTGGTTCGGGTAACCGAGCAGACGAGCGGCCTCATCACGTAGGATGATGGCCTCACGGAAAAGAGGCACGTTCTGGTTGCACTTGTTCTCGTTCTGGATCATGACCTGCTTACGGGTCTCGGGGTTCTTGGCGTACTTCATGGTCGGGAAGAGGTCGGGGTACTTGAAGGTCAGCCAGAGCTTGCCCTCGTGCTCACCCTCACCCTTCTTCAACCCAGCCAGGACATCCTCGGGAACACCATCGAGCTCTTCGCGGGTGAACCAGAGTCCTTCGTTCTCCTCGTTCAAGTTCTTCTGGAACTCAATGCTAATCTGACTGAGACGCTTCTTGATCTCCTTGAACCGGTCACGCTTGGGACCAGCCGGGAGACCCAAGCCATTGCGGATGAAATCCTTGTGTTCCTTCTCCAACAGACGGCGAGACTCGGGGTCAAGAGACTCGTTCTTCTTAAGCACGGCGTCGACGAGCTGGAACACATCCTCGCGCATGGCAGCTTCAATGAAGAACTCATCCATCAGCTCCTCCGCCTTGGACGATGCATCCCGCAGCTCTTGTTGGGTGGACACGGCCTGGTAGAAGCCGAGAATGTGCGATTCGAGGGACATGACGTTCTCATCCTGGGCCAAGGGCTTCACGACAGCGTTGAATGTAGCCGTGTCGGGCTTGACGGTAGCCACGACGTCATCCTGAACTTTGCGGGAGGCTTCAATGAGTCGCTTGGCGTCATCGACAATGGATTGAGCAGTTGCGGTGAAGACGGGGGGAGCCTGAGGAGGGCGGCGGAGGTGTTCGGGGGCCATGCTGGCAGTTGTGAGGGATTTGCGAAGGTTTGTCAAAGCTGAATGGGAGGTTAAAGGAAGTCGAGAGCCGCGGAAATGGCCCAAGACCGAGGAAAGTCTGAAGGCGGGAGAGGAAAGGCGAAGCGGGGGAGCCACGGTGACGAGGAGAACGCCCAAGAGAAGGACGAGGAAGGCGGGTAGATAAAAGGTGTGACAGAGAGGGGAGCGAATGGTGACGGTAGGAGGGGCACAGGTGGTGAAAGGCGGGGTGCTAAGCAAGCTACTGCAATGGAAGAAGCGGATCAATACGTGGCTCGACAGTGGACACTCTTGGGGGGGAGGAGCTGTTTGGTGATGCAGAAGTGCAGCTGAGCTGGTCCCGGCGGAGCCTGCAGTCTGGCCGATCATGTGTTTTCCCTCTCCTCCACCACTAACTAATCTCTCCCCCGTCTTCCTCTTTTCTCTTTGTTTGGACTCCACACTTCCTCCTGTCTGGTTCCCTATTCTTCGATCTTTCGATCATGTTCTCATGACGAAGCTATGGCCCTTTTGACATCCCGATCCACTCTACGTCTGCCGGGTCCAGGGTTTCTATGTCCACTTCTACAGATCTATTACGTAGCTACAAGAGCTTAAAGATCCTACAGGCAACTGTTCATAAATATGTGATCACACTTTGGATATCTGGATTCTATGCAGGATTTCAACAATCGATGTTCCTCGTCACATCTCGTCGCTTTTTTTCAAATGAAATAGGTAAACCCGCGTCGACTCAAACTCGCTCCGTCGACATAAAAAAAGTAGGCCAACTCCAACAACGCCATACACACGAAAGAATGAACGCCCCGAGTGCTAAATTAAAAGACGAAGGATCGTCGGAGTGGGAAACACAGCGTATTCGCAAATGGTACATCAGAATATAAGGCGAAAGGGTCATGGACATTGCGCCGCTCACGCAGCGTCGGCAGTGGGGATGGGCTCGGGGATCTTGGTGACCTGCTCACCAGCCCGGATCACCCGCTGGCCGGCATCGTCACGAACATACCCGGCGCCCTCCTTCTGGGCCCGCTTCCAGATCTCTACCTCACAACCACCGCGGATCACACCCACACGCATGGTCGAAAGAAGGTTGTGGGCAGCGTTGGAGTGGTAGTACACACCACCGTTGAACATGGCAGTAGCGTCCTTGCCAATACCAGAGTTGATCATGGCCTTGCCACCAGGGTGGTCCTTGATGAAGTCGGTCACATCGTGAACGACACCCGCAATAGCAACGAGACCACGGCCGTTCTTAGCCTGCTCGACATAGTCGTCCCATTCCATAACGGGCAGCTGGTCGAGAGGGGTACCCCAGTCGAGACGGGAACGCTTC